GTATCTTCACTTTCTTAGAGTGAATGTTATAAAATAAGAATGAATGTGTAATGAAATTTAAGTGTGCCTCCCATCTCAAATGGGATGGAAGCACCATTCGCTTCTGTGTCCAGGGGCCTTACCTACTAGATAAGTAGAGCAGAACCGAAGATGTGCTATTTACAAAACTCAAGTGACTGCACTAGGAAGAGGTTGTGCCTTTTCCTTTGCTTCTTTGTTGACAAACTGTTTTACTGAGTGTTTGGAAAGCAAATGATCTTGGGTCATTGTCATTTGTGATCGATTGTTTCCGTAGGAAGCATTGACAATTGCATAGCCTCAAAAGACTATTGGTGACCAGATACACAGGCTGATTTTTTTTACCTAACAGGGTACAGTGGATTCTAAGTTTAGATTAAGTGAAGGGTTGAATATTATAGTCAGCTCTCCATATCAAGGATTTAAAATACTTTAAAAAACAAAAAAACAAACTGATTTTGTTTCAGTTTTATGTAAGATAACTCATTTTATTGCACCATTGTGTATGACATGATTGGAGCATTTGTGTGTTTTAGGTATCCAAGGGCCCACTCTATTTATTTATGTATTTATTTTATTTATATCTTGGCTTTCTCCCAGCAAAGGGATCCAGTGTGGCTTACAACAGGGTCAAAAAAGGTCTAACTGAAATAACAGATTACAAATGAAATAAATATTATTTTAGTTAGGTGGTTGATTTATTTATGCTAAATGTCCTTTGACCAGGAGCTAGCCACTTGGAGCGTCTCTAGTGTCGCTGTAAGAAGGTCCTCTGTTGTAATAGGTGGACTGTGGTTTGCTCTTCTTCGCACTCGCATGTTGTGGACTCCACTTTGTGGCCCCATTTCTTAAGGTTAGCTCTGCATCTCACAATGTCAGAACACAATTTGTTCAGTGGCTTCCAGGTCACTCAGTCTTCTGTGTGCCCAGGGGGAGCCTCTCATCTGGTATCAGCCATGGATTGAGATTCCAGGTTTTAGCCTGCCACTTTTGGACTCTCGCTTGCTGAGACTCCTGCAAGTATCTCTGTAGATGTTAGGAATATGTTTCTTGATTTAAGGCATTGGCATGCTGGCTGATATCCATACAGAGGATGGATATTGGTCCTTTCATTATTGGCTGCTACTTCCCGGCAGATGTCAGGTGATGCAATACCGGCTAAACACTTTAATTACCTGTTGGGTTGCTCTCTACTTACTTTTGGTTTTAAATCCTCCTACTAGATACATCCTCTGTTGATGTCCAGCATTTATTTTAAAGTTTTAACTATTACATCTGGCCCGGCCATAGGTTTTTAATCATTGTGTGTTATTGTCTATGTGTGAGTTATATTAATTGTATTGTTTATTTTGCTTATTGCTTGTTGTTTTTATTGATGGGTTGTTGGGTTTGGCCTCATGTAAGCTGCTCCAAGTCCCTTGGGGAGATGATGGCGGGGTATAAATAAAGCTTTATTATTGTTTTATTATGTTGTTGTTGTTCATTCGTTCAGTCGTCTCCGACTCTTCGTGACCTCATGGACCAGCCCACGCCAGAGCTCCCTGTCGGCCGTCACCACCCCCCGCTCCCTCAAGGTCAGTCCAGTCACTTCAAGGATGCCATCCATCCATCTTGCCCTTGGTCGGCCCCTCTTCCTTTTCCTTCCCTTTCCCCCAGCATCATTGTCTTCTCTAAGCTTTCCTGTCTCCTCATGATGTGGCCAAAGTACTTCAACTTTGTCTCTAGTATCTCCTTCCCTCCAATGAGCAGTCGGGCTTTATTTCCTGGAGGATGGACTGGTTGGATCTTCTCGCAGTCCAAGGCACTCTCAGCACTTTCCTCCAACACCACAGTTCAAGAGCATCATCTTCCTTCGCTCAGCCTTCCCTAAGGTCCAGCTCTCACATCCGTAGGTGACTACAGGGAAGACCATGGCTTTGACTAGGCAATGGATCTTTGTTGCCAGTCTGATGTCTCTACTCTTCACTATTTTATCGAGATTGATCATTGCTCTCCTCCCAAGAAGTAAATGTCTCATCATTTCCTGGCTCCAGTCTGTGTCTGCAGTAATCTTCAAACCTATAAATACAAAGTCTGTCACTACCCCCACATTTTCTCCCTCTATTTTCCAGTTGTCAATCATTCTTGTTGCCATAATCTTGGTTTTTTTGACGTTTAGCTGCAACCCGGCTTTTTCGCTTTCTTCTTTCACCTTGATTAGAAGGCTCCTCAGCTCCTCCTCGCTTTCGGCCATCAGAGTGGTGTCATCTGCATATCTGAGGTTGTTAATGTTTCTTCCAGCATTTTCACGTCAAGCCCCGCACATCGCATGATGTGTTCTGCATACACGTTAAAAAGGTTGGGTGAGAGTATGCAGCCTTGCCGTACGCCTTTCCCAATCTTGAACCAGTCTGTTGTTCCGTGGTCAGTTCTGACTGTTGCTACTTGGTCCTTGTACAGATTCCTCAGGAGAGAGACAAGGTGGCTTGGGATGCCCATCCCACTAAGAACTTGCCACAATTTATTATGATCCACGCAGTCAAAGGCTTTAGAATAGTCAATGAAGCAGAAGTAGATGTTTTTCTGAAACTCCCTGCCTTTCTCCATTATCCAGCGGATATTGGCAATTTGGTCTCTCGTTCCTCTGCCTTTTCTAAACCCAGCTTGAACATCTGGCAACTCTCTCTCCATGTATTGCTGGAGTCTTCCTTGCAGGATCTTGAGCATTACCTTACTGGCATGTGAAATAAGGGCCGCTGTACGGAAGTTGGAGCAGTCTTTCGCATTTCCCTTTTTTGGTATGGGGATATAAGTTGTTTTTTTCCAGTCTGATGGCCATTCTTGTGTTTTCCATATTTGCTGGCATATGGCATGCATCACCTTGACAGCATCATCTTTTAAGATTTTAAACAGTTCAGCTGGGATCCCGTCGTCTCCTGCTGCCTTGTTGTTAGCAATGCTTCTTAAGGCCCATTCAACCTCACTCCTCAGGATGTCTGGTTCTAATTCATTCACCACACCGTCAAAACTATCCTCGATATTATTATCCTTCCTATACAGATCTTCTGTATAGTCTCGCACCTTCTCTTGATCTCTTCAGCTTCTGTTAGGTCCCTGCCATCTTTGTTTCTTATCATACCAATTTTTGCCTGAAATTTACCTCCAATGTTCTAATTTTCTGGAAGAGGTCTCTTGTCCTTCCTATTCTGTTGTCTTCCTCCACTTCCATGCATTGCTTATTTAAAAATAGTTCCTTATCTCTTCTGGCTAACCTCTGGAATTGCGCATTTAACTGGGCATATCTCCCCTTTTCACTGTTTCCTTTTGCTTTCCTCCTTTCTTGGTCTACTTCCAGTGTCTCAGCAGACAACCATTTTGCCTTCTTGGTTTTCTTTTTCTTTGGAACGTACTTTGTTGCCGCCTCCTGAACAATGTCGCGGACTTCTGTCCATAGTTCTTCTGGGACTCTGTTTACTAAATCTAGTCCTTCAAATCTGTTCTTCACTTCCACTGTATATTCGCTAGGAATGTTAGTGAGATCATATCTAACTGTTCTGTGTATTTTCCCTGATCTCTTTAGTTTTATTCTAAATTGGGCAATAAGAAGTTCGTGATCTGAGCTACAGTCAGCCCCAGGTCTTGTTTTCACCGACTGGATGGATGTCCGCCACCTTTGGCTGCAAAAGATGTAGTCAATCTGATTTCGGTGTTGACCATCTGGTGAAGTCCATGTATAAAGCCGTCTTTTAGGTTGTTGGAAGAGAGTATTCGTTATACACAGCGAGTTTTCCTGGCAAAATTCTATCAGCCTGCGTCCCGCTTCATTTTGTTCTCCCAGACCATGCTTGCCTGTGATCCCAGTTGTCATTTGACTTCCCACCTTGGCATTCCATCTCCTGTAATGAAAATAATGTCTCTTTTTGGTGTATTATCCAGTAGGTCCTGCAGATCCTCATAGAACTGATCTACTTCTGCTTCTTCAGCAGCTGTGGTTGGGGCGCATATTTGGATCACTGTAATGTTGAAAGGCTTTCCTTGCACTCGAATTGAGATCATTCTGTCATTTTTTGGGTTGTATCCAAGCACCGCTTTAGCGAATTTCTTATTAATTATGAAGGCTACTCCATTTCTTCGATGTTCCTCTTGTCCGCAGTAGTAGATCTGGTGGTCATCTGATGTGAAGTGGCCCATTCCAGTCCATTTCATTTCGCTGACCCCCAGAATGTCTATCTTTAGTCTTGTTTTATTATAAACAGTATAATTTCTCCACTGGTGTGAGGTGTAGACATCTTGTGATAATGCGGCATGTCTCATTAAGAGCCACATCCATTGTTTTAACATGGTGAGATATATTCTACACTGGGCATGCGTATTCAGCAGCAGAGTAGCAAAGCGCCATGACAGATATCTTCACTGTGTCTGGTTGTGATCCCCAGGTTGTGCCAGTCGACTCTTGTATGATATTATTTCTAGCACCCAATTCTGGCTTGATTGTCAAGCAGTGCTTTTTGTAAGTTAGAGCACGGTCCAAAGTGACTCCCGGGTATTTTGGTGTGCTGCAATGCAATACAGTTATGTGATGCAATTTTTGATATTGATATCAATTCTTCAAACAAGATTTAAAACCATAACGACAAATATAAATATGCAGCACAGACCCCTGTTAAGGCACCCCTATACTTACACGTTTCTATCATCTAGAGCCTTTGACCCATGTAAATCCTGTGCCATTCTTTAATGTAACTTTGGATGGTGGTGGCTTTCAGTGACCTGAGATCTACTCCTGAGTCTCCCCCGCATGTCTTTGTGCTTGGCACTTAGAATGTGTGAGTCCCTCCCTTTGCTTTCCGTTCTGAGCAGATGTGACTGTACGTGGAGTCTTGTTTTTGAGCTTCAAAATGAGTAGCTTTGTTGAAAGGTTAAGGTCTTTCACTTTCTAATTGAATATCTTGGACTTCAGTTTCTGTGCTCAGCCTGAGATGTTATTTTTTTTCTATTTTCAGGTGCTGGAAAACCACTCCGATGGACCCATGACCCCAAAACAGATCCTGCAGGTCATAGAAACAGAGGGCCTAAAGGAAATGAGGTCAGTAGCATTTTTCCTGTCAGGATCAAAGCATGAGGTGGAATGAAAGCAGTGTCCTTGTTTTCCCAGACCACATCTTCCTTTGTTTTTAGTTTGGAAATGTCCTTTTGTGGTCCTTTACTTCAGCCAGAGGATTTCCTGAACGTCTGAGACAAAACTGTGTTGTTAGTTGGAGTCCTGGTGTTTTCCTTTAACATGCCAATTGCCAGCTACTAGCACACCATTGTTATGGAGAAATGCTAGTACTGGTTTGTCCCATATATTGTGGAAATTGACTTTGCAAGTTCATTTTTGTTTCATTTTCCAAATAAAGCAGTTCCTCCTGTAAGTTCCCCCATTGGAAAAGGGTGAATGGCGTGTCCAAAACGGGTGAAAATGATGTAACATCATGCCATAGGCATTTAACTCCTTGATCTAAAATTGTCATAAATTTCAGGTGTTTAGTCCACCACTGTTATATTGTAAAGTGTTACATTATATTGTATTGTTTTTATAATAATAATAATAATAATATAATAATAATAATAACACTTTATATATATTCTGCCCATTTCTCCAAGGGGACTCAGAGCAGATTACAACATATAAACAAACACTGGCAAAAATTCAGTGCCTTGTTACAAATGGAAATACAGTGAAACACAAATACATGGATAAAGGCAAAGGCTTCTCCTTTCATTTCCGGATCTGGAGACAGAATTATACATATTATATGACCATTGTTTTCCTCATTCACCTCCTGCTCCTGCCTTGTTCCCAGGAGATTATGGAATAGATAGATTTATTTCCTACTTAACAAAATGGGTTACCAGTATTGATGCTGCTGAATTCTGTCCTAAAGCTAAGGTGGGCAAAATGCAGCCATCCAGATGATTTTGGGCTGCATTTCCCATTAGCACTTTGCAATATTGCCGAGGGTAAGAAATGCACCTGGACTGCACTCTGCCCAGCTGTATTCTCAAGGCAGTATGGATCTAACCCTGCAAATAGTTCTTCCCTGGTTAACCAGCATCTCCTCTTGAATTTTCTTATTGCAAGTAACGTGAAGACGGGAAGGCCTCTGGCTGTGTTTCCAGCTTCAGACTTCCTGAATCTGGTGCAAAGTCACCCTGTTTTGTTATGCGGACAAAAGGGAAGATTCAAAGTACTGGGGTAGACTGTCTTGACACTGATTTTACCTGCTTCCTCACCTGAAGCAACTATTTGTTCTCTGAGGTCCCTGTAAATGTCAAAGGACTTGGGATGTAGCCATTTCCTCAGGAACCAAAAATAGAGGAAGCCAGAATTTGTTAGATCCTGTAGCTCTAAGAACTCAGTCTTGCAGAGGGTCACGTGCAGGAATGGTAGACCAGTATAAATATGTCATGCTTTTAAAGCCTCTTTTAGGTAGAGGATGAAGCCATAGTGGCAGCCCCTGCCCCTGACCTATGATGCATCGAGAAAGCATTCAAGTCCTCATCCTTTGACTTTTCTACTTTCTCTGTGTGTCAGCCTGGAATGTCATTCAGTATTGCTACAACTTTGTGTATATGAGATACTTAACACTGCAAAAGAGAAATGAACAAAAGTGTTGTAATTCAGCCACTGATGGTGCCTAATTTCAGTGAGGAAGTGGATCATGGGATTTCTGGGCCGGTGAGCCAGCATGAGATTTTAAGTCCTGAAATTGAGAGTTCTGTGTCTCCTGCAGTAAGTGAAGGCGAAGGTCACATTCCAGAGAGGGGCCCAAAGAAGTCTTTCTCTAGGGAAGCAAGTTCAGAGGATGAACTGCCAGGTGGAGTGGGTAATGAGCTGATAGATAGAAGACTTAGTTTTTGCAAACTCTGAGCTGATTCACAGACTCGGCAAAAGGTCACAGCGCTTGTTGGAGAAAAAGCTGTTATCAGTTTTCCAGGAGAAACGGAATGATTTCATGGCTTTATTAGAGAGACCAAAGGGATTTTTCAGCAGTCTGGTCAGCGTTGGAGTTGAAGCAATATCTCTTGTCAAGGCTGCTAAGCGAATTCTAGTTTCATGTTTCCAGTTCATATTCCATGCTTCCAAGTTTAAAGGATTGTTCTTGAATTTTGTGCATTGGATTTTATGCTGCCTTGAGTATCCTGATTCTTTTGCATTCCTGCTTTTTAATGCAACTTTTGTACCTTGAATCTTATGAACTATTTCATACATTTGAGTTTAGATGTTTTTGCTGTTTTGCTGAACTGATTTTTATATATTGCTGATTTAAATTGTATTGTGGTGATTAAGTACAGGGGTGCTTCCTGTCCTTGAATACAACAAAAAGCAAGCTGACAGGTATAATTAATCAATAAGAAGTGTTTAATATCCATCCACGAGTCAATCTAGGCAGAGGCTCTTTTTTTGACAGCAGTTACAGCTGTGAGCTTTGCACATTGGATCCTGTGTTTATAGTCTGGGATATTTTTATAGCCCAACCCTATTGGTGTTTCTTTACAGGCCTGCTTTGGTAGCTCTTTGTGATGCTGCTTGCATAGATATGCTTCCAATCAAACCCTGGGACCTTCCAGAAACAGATGCATTTGATGTGAGATCATGTAGCCTGAGAATTGCGCCCAGGTGGTCCCTATTCAACTATTCATGTGATTTCTGGAAGCAGTAGGTTGCACAAGAGCAGGTTTCGGCATGTCTCAATAAAGAGAATATTTTTGCAGGCGGCAAAGGCTAGTTTATTTTTGTTTCTACCACAGTAAGAATGCAGTGTTTTGCAACTTCTTGGGGCTGAGTTACCTTATATACCTGAGGTATTAAGAATGACAACAAAATCCATTTCGATTCCAGGTGGTAACACAACAAAATGTAGAAAAGCCAAAGAGCATTGGAGCCACTAACTGGGTACTCTCTTTGGCTATGTCTTGGCATAGGTCCATTTAAGACTGAAGAAATGTTCGGAATGTGTTCCTACATTTAGTAACGGAGATAGAAATAAAAGTGTGTGTGCAAACGTAGACTAGATACATCTGTCACTTCTCCTGCATTTAGTGAACTGTAGAGAGTTATATGCAGATCAGCAAAAACCCTTTGCTTTTTGTTTCAAAAGTTAAATAGCACTAACAGACTAGCCCCTGTGTCGTCCACATCTGCCATCAGAACTTTTCATTTTGTGTTAATTTCATTCTGTTTTCCCATTTCTTTTCATGGGCTGTTTCCTCTCCCAAATGTAACTGGCCTTGCTATGGAACCACTGCGTGTGCACAGAAGGTAAATGACTTTCTGAGTAAGGATGGAGCATCTGCCAAAAAAACCCCCCTTACTTCAAAGACTGTTTTTAATGTTTTTTGTTTGTTTGTTTGTTTGTTTTACCAGTTTGCCCATAGACTTTACCAGTTTGCCCATGTCTGAGTACTGAGCAGGCTCTCCTACATTTAATAACTCTGAAGTGCTAGCCTACAGGTTCAAAGTTCTCTTCCTTGTTGACCTTCTGAAGTACAAAGTCACAAAATAAATTCAGTAGACAAATAAAAAATATTGTAAAACAATATTTTCCTGTATTAATGTATTGTCGAAGGCTTTTGTGGCTGGAATCACTGGGTTGTTGTAGGTTTTCTGGGCTATATGGCCATGTTATAGAAGCATTCTCTCCTGACATTTCGCCTGCATCAACGGCAAGCATCCTCAGAGGCAAAACGTTAGGAGAGAATGGTTCTAGAACAGGGGCCCACAAACAGAGGGCCAAGTCACAGTCCCTCAAACTGTTGGAGGGCCGGATTATAATTTGAAAAAAACATGAATTCCTATTCACGCTGCACATATCTTATTTGTAATGCAAAAAAACCACTTTAAAACAATACAATAATTAAAGTGAAGAACAATTATAATCAATATAAGCTTATTAGTATTTCAATGGGAAGTGTGGGCCTGCTTTTGGCTGATGAGATAGGGTTGTTGTTGTTGTTGTTGTTGTGTGCTTTCAAGTAGTTTCAGACTTAGGTTGACTCTGAGCGAGGATGGGTTAAATGACCTTGGAGGGCCGTATCTGGCCCCCGGGCCTTAGTGTGAGGAAACCTGTTTTAAGCCATCCCTCTCGCAGCCCCAATCTCACACCCAGTGACTATCATCTGCTCACTCAATTGAAGGAACACCTGGGTGGAAAACACTTTTCTGACGACAACGAGGGTGAATGACCTTGGAGGGCCGTATCCAGCCCCCGGGCCTTAGTTTGAGGATCCCTGTTCTAGAACATGACGATATAATCCGAAAAACCTACAACAACCCAGTTTTACTGTATTGTTGAAGGCTTTCATGGCCGGAATTACTGGGATGCGGTGAGTTTTCTGGACTGCATGGCAATATTCCAGAAACATTTCCTCCTGACGTTTCACCTGCATCTATGGCAAACATCCTCAGGGGTTGTGAGACCTCACAACCTCTGAGGATGCCTGCCATAGATGCCGGCGAAACGTCTTTCCTGTTCTGCAATCTTGTTAGCTAAGGCTCGATGGCCTTCCAAGTTTAGTATTTTGGTGATGGATACATAGGTGACTGTGGAGCTCTATTCTTGATCTGCATGTTCTTCCATAGTGAGGACATCGGTTTCCATGTGGAAGGCTTCCCAGTTCTTGTTCTGCAATCTTGTTAGCTAAGGAACGATGATCAGGGAAACATCCATACTGTACAATCAGTGCAGTTTGACACTGCTTTAACAGTGTTGGCTCCACACTATAGAATCGTGGGGATTGTAGTTTGGTGATGCACATGAACTCTTTTGCTGAAAAGACTTAGAATCATAGAATCAAAGAGTTGGAAGAGACCTCATGGGCCATCCAATCCAACCCCCTGCCAAGAAGCAGGAATATTGCATTCAAATCACCCCTGACAGATGGCCATCCAGCCTCTGTTTAAAAGCTTCCAAAGAAGGAGCCCTCCACCACACTCCGGGGCAGAGAGTTCCACTGCTGAACGGCTCTCACAGTCAGGAGGTTCTTCCTCATTTTCAGATGGAATCTCCTCTCTTGTAGTTTGACGCCATTGTTCCACATCCTAGTCTCCAAGGAAGCAGAAAACAAGCTTGCTCCCTCCTCCCTGTGGCTTCCTCTCACATATTTATACATGGCTATACTTGTAAAAGTATTATTTATTTATTTATTTATTTGCATTATTTCTATCCTGCCCATATCAGCCCGAAGGCGACTCAGTACAACACCAGGATTCTGTAGCCATTGAAGTGTTGTCAAACCGCATTAATTCTTCAGTGTAGATACACCACAAGACTATACAGGAATCATGCCGAGGTTATCTCCAGCAGAGTAGTGGTCATTGGCAAAAAATGGTCACCTTGTTTTTCCCTTATAACACCAGGTCATTTATGAAGAAGTTTAAAAGCACTGGTCTAAAAACAGATCCACCGCCCACCACTAATACTGCACTCTCTCTGTTTCCTCTACACCAGGCATGGGCAAATTCTGGCTCCCCAGGTGTTTTGGACTTCAACTCCCACAATTCCTGGCCTCAGGACCCTTCCTTTTCCCTCTCAGCCGCTTAAGCGGCTGAGGGGGAAAAGGAAGGGTCCTGAGGCCAAGAATTGTGGGAGTTGAAGTCCAAAACATCTAGAGAGCCAGAATTTGCCCATGCCTGTTTCTACACTATCTGGTGTTCCCATTCATATCCAAATTTCTCAACTCATCTCTTGACCACTGAGCTTTATTTTGGAGTCTTCCTGATATCGAATACTTTTGGAAATCCCAAGCAAGCATTGTCTACCAGATGGCTCCTGTCCATATTCAAAAAGCTCTTGGAAGTGTTCAGGTTTTGCTTATTTAGCAGAACAGCTCTGCAAGCAAAACACTGCGGCTCTGTTTGTTTTAGTAACGGGGTCTTTGTAGGTTTATCTTTTTTTGCTTTGAGTTGTCAGTAGCCAATCTGTTCCAGGTGCTTAAGTTACAGAAATGTACAAATCGGAGAGCAACAGATTGTTGTTTCTCGACTATTCCAAATAGTATTCTGGTTTGTTTGTGTTTGTTTAACCTGCGTAGTTTTTTTATCTAAATAATAAAGAGTCAGTGAGAGGCTTTCGGAGTCTGTTTGGATATTGGATTCTTCCTCATGAAACGCTGGCGTCTGTGCGGCTGGTGCACATGAATCATCTCTGAAACGTGAATCATCTGCAGTCTCCCCTCAGCATTCCTTTTGGATTTAGACAGGAGATGAGTTTCCTATAACTAGTAAAAGATGCAGGTAGGACTGTGATACTCCATAGCTTGGATTACCTTAGTGGCAGTCAAAGGAATTTTTGGGGGAAAAAATGCTCCAGCAAACAAATCTTACTGAAGGTACAGACATGAGGGTTTTTTAAAGCGTTGCTTCCTGTTTGAAATGTAAAACATCTTGGGGATTTTATATCCAAGACTGAAAAACGTGCTTCAGGGAAGTTCCCACACCAATTTTTATTTTATTACTAGCTTGGGTACCCAGTGTTGCCCAGGTTATTAGAAAAAGTCATTTTTTTAATTGTACAGAATGCATAAGGTTGTGGGTGAACTACAATATAATAATAATAATAATAATAATGTATTGTTGATGGCTTTCATGGCAGGAATCACTGGGTTGTTGTAGGTTTTTTCGGGCTATATGGCCATAGTCTAGAGGCATTCTCCTGACGTTTCGCCTGCATCTATGGCAAGCATCCTCAGAGGTAGTGAGGTCTGTTGGAAGTAGGAAAAAGGGTTTATATATCTGTGGAATGACCAGGGTGAGACAAAGGACTCTTGTCTGCTGGAGCTAGGTGTGAATGTTTCAACTGACCACCTTGATTAGCATAATCTCATTTTACCTCAAACTGTTGAAGGGTTGGATTATAATTTGAAAAAAACATGAATGAATTCCAATGCCCACTGCACATATCTTATTTGTAGTGCAAAAAAAACACTTAAAAACAACACAATAATTAAAATGAAGAACAATGTTAACAAATAAACTTATTAGTATTTCAATGGGAAGTGTGGGCCTGCTTTTAGCTGATGAGATAGGATTGTTGTTGTTGTTGTGTGCTTTCAAGTCGTTTCAGATTTAGTTGACCCCGAGTGAGGGCCGGGTAAATGACCTTGGGGGACCGTATCCGGCCCCTGGGCCTTAGTTTGGGGAGCCATGGTCTAGAGGCATTCTCTCCTGACGTTTCGCCTGCATCTATGGCAAGCATCCTCAGAGGTAGTGAGGTCTGTTGGAACTAGGCAAAAGGGTTTATATATCTGTGGAATGACCAGGGTGAGACAAAGGACTCTTGTCTGCTGGAGCTAGGTGTGAATGTTTCAACTGACCACCTTGATTAGCATACAATGTGCTGAATGTGCCTGGAGCAAACTTTTGTTGAGAGGTAATTATGCTGGACCACTCTCACAACCACCATGTCAGACTACACAGAGAAGCCATTGAAATACACAAGCATGTGGACAATTTCAACAGAAAGGAGGAAACCATGAAAATGAACAAAATCTGGCTACCAGTATTAAAAAAAACTAAAATTGCAACAGCACAACAACAGAGAGGAAGCAGGCAGGGACATCTAATTACCTCTCAACAAAAGTTTGCCCAGGCACAGTCAGCCCATTGTATGCTAATCAAACCTACAACAACCCAGAAGATGGACTAATAATAATATAATAATAATAATAATAATAATAATAATCTTTATTTATACCCTGCCACCATCTCCCCGGCCAGCGGGCACTTGGAGCGGCTTACATGGGAACAAGCAAAATAAGACCGACAACGCAAGCAAAGCGCAACATCCTAATAACATAAAACATGTGAATAAATAACGATATAAAATTACAATAACACAATCACAATGATAGTGGGCTACATGTAATGAATTAAAAGAAAAAGTAATTAAAAACTCAGAAGTCATTTTTTAATTATACAAAATGCATAAGGTTATGGGTGAACTACAACGTACATCATGTCAGGTTAACCCCCTGAAACCCCATCAATGCTTAAAGTTTGTTATGTTGAGCAAGTTTGCTCTAGATGCATCATCGGTGGGGTTCAGTTTGCTCTGGCTGCAGGGTAAACTAGAGCTCCCATATAATCTATATAAATAAAACTGTAATGTTCGTTTGTGGGATTAACATAACTCAAAAACCACTGGACGAATTGCTGCCAAATTTGGCCACAAGACACCTACTAACCCAAGGAGTGACCATCACTCAAAAAAATAAATGTTCATAGAATCATAGAATCAAAGAGTTGGAAGAGACCTCATGGGCCATCCAGTCCAACCCCATTCTGCCAAGAAGCAGGAATATTGCATTCAAAGCACCCCTGACAGATGGCCATCCAGCCTCTGTTTCAAAGCTTCCAAAGAAGGAGCCTCCACCACACTCCGGGGCAGAGAGTTCCACTGCTGAACGGCTCTCACAGTCAGGAAGTTCTTCCTCATGTTCAGATGGAATCTCCTTTCTTGTAGTTTGAAGCCATTGTTAGCGTTCTAGTCTCCAGGGAACCAGAAAAAACAAACTTGCTCCCTCCTCCCTGTGGCTTCCTCTCACATATTTATACATGGCTATCATGTCTCCTCTCAGCCTTCTCTTCTTCAGGCTAAACATGCCCAGCTCCTTAAGCCGCTCCTCATAGGGCTTGTTCTCCAGACCCCTGATCATTTTAGTCACCCTCCTCTGGACACATTCCAGCTTGTCAATATCTCTCTTCAATTGTGGTGCCCAGAATTGGACACAATATTCCAGGAAACCGAGGGCGACTAAAATGATCAAGGGTATTTTGTCATTTGGGAGTTGTAGTTGCTGGGATTTATAGTTCACCTACAATCAAAGAGCATTCTGAACTCCACCAATGCTGGAATTGAACCAAACGTGGCGCACAGGACTCCCATGACTAACAGAAAACACTAGAAGGGTTTGGCGGGCATTGACCTTGAGTTTGGGAACATCCAGAGAGCACTGTGGACTCAAACAATGATGGATCTGGACCAAATTTGACAGAAATACTCAATATGCCCAATTGTGAACACTGGTAGAGTTTGGGGAAAACAGAACTTGACATTTGGGAGGTGTAGTTGCTTGGATTTATAGTACAGTCAAAGAGCCCCTTAAACCCCACCAACGATAGACTTGGGCCAAACTTCCTGCACAGAACCCCTATGGCCAACAGAAATGTCTGTGTTTTCTGATGGTCTTCGGTGACCCCTCTGACACCCCGTCACAACCCGCCAAGGGTCCCGACCCCCTGGTTAAGAAACACTGACTTAGAGGTTCCACTCCATGCATCTGGTGAAGTAGACTGAATAGCTTATGGTGCAAACTTCTTTCTCTCCATTAGTCTCAGAGATGCTACAAGATTCCTTTGTATGCTCAGATGTTTGGCTTGGCCTTTATCACACTAAGTCAGTTTGAAAGTCTGTTGACAGCCTTCCTGTGTCCGTTGTGATAGAAAGTACCAGAGTTTGCAATGTTTTTTTCCCACTGATGATAGAACAGTGTCTGAGCGCATCGATGCAATTACGCCTATTTCTCCCTTTAGTGGCACATCTCCTCTGGCCTGCCTGAACGCTATGCTGCACTCCAATTCAAGGAGCTGCGATGGCCTTTTTTACAAGCTGCCCGGGCGCATCAGCCTTTTCACTCTCAAGGTAAGACCAGATTACTCTTCTTCGGTCCAGGATTGGATGAAGGTTTAGATGGCTGTTGAATATTGGATGAGCATAGTACCTGGCACACGATTGCATCTGGGGTCTAGAATTTCTCGTACCACAGCCTTTGTGCTGATAGACTCCGTACAGCAAATGTATCTGAACTTGGCGTTTGTCTTGCATGATAATCAGAGAATATGATGTCGTATATATTTGCTCCAGAAGGCCTATCTTGACATGTTTGAGCACTTGGCATTAATTGTTTTTCATATCAACGAAACACTGTATGTGCACCCAGACATTGGGGTTCCCCTGGTTCTGTAATAGCCATGTGCCGCTGGGTGCACATGGGTGGTGCAGCAGGTTAGACTGCTGAGCTTCTGAACTCACTGACTGAAAGGTTGGCAGTTCAAATCTGGGGAGCAAGGTGAGCTCCTGCTGTTAGCCCCAGCTTCAGCCAACCTAGCCGTTCGAAAACATGCAAATGTGGATCTCTTTCCAATATTTATTTGCTTTCTCACAACTCCCACAGATATGATGGAAAGTTCCTCTTTCTTTTTTGCATTTCCAACAAAGGTTTTCCCTTGACATTAAGTCTAGTCGTGTCCGACTCTGGGGGGTGGTGCTCATCTCCATTTTTAAGTCGTAGAGCCGGTGTTGTCCATAGACACCTATTGATCCACAAAGTGACTCAAAAGATACTCCAACTTAAAGTCCAATTTAAATCAGAGTATTTTTTTTAAATGGGGATTATAGACTTTGATCTGGATAGGAGTAAAGATGTCCTATTTAGCTATAATAATAATAATAATAATAATAATAATAATAATAATAATAATTATTATTATTATTATTATTATTATTATTATTATTATTATTATTATTTATAACCTGCCACCATCTCCCCGATGGGGACTCGGAGCGGCTTACATGAGGCCAAGCCCAAACAACAAATTACAACAGAGTAAAACCGAAAAAACACAAACCGCTATATATATCTGCAGCCAGAATAGTCTATGCCCGTTACTGGAGAGGGAAAGAATTCCAATAATAATAATAATAATAATAATAATAATAATAATAATAATAATAACGACAACAACAACACTTTATTTATACCCTGCTACCATCTCCCCAAGGGACTTGGTGTGGCTTACATGAGGCTGAGCCCAAAATAAGCAATAACAATACAAGCAATTTAAAAACAACAAAGCAATAAAACAATAACACAAGCATTATCAATAGGACAATACACTTTAAAATCTATGGGTAGGCCAAATGTAATTAAAATTAAAAGATTTGAAAATAATGCTGGACAAAACAATGGTTAGTCAAAATGCTGGAAATTAGAAACATAGATAATTTGACCCATCAATTAAGAAACAAACAACCTAAAACAAAAGCAGATTGGGGTTTATTAACAAGGTTTATGGAGAAAGAAAAATGGAAATATGGACATTAATATTAAGAAGACAAGAGCTACTAGCCCTTCAAACTATGAAGAAGAAGAGGATTAAGTATAAAAGAAGAGACAAAATGAGATGAATTGGCCCAGTAATGAGAAGACAGGAAACCAACAGCCTATTCTATCCCCTTTTACCCTGAACCACTATGCTTCTACCCTATCCCCATCCCTCACTTTATACCCCCCTACCGTACCCTCCACTACCCCTTCCCTGACTCTCCCTCCCCAGCTTAATCCCCCCTGTTTTTTTTATGTAAACCGAAAACTTTGCAATAAAGATATTAAAAAAAGAAGAAAACATGCAAATGTGAGCTGATCAATAGATACTACTTCTGTGTGAAGGTAATGGTGCTCCATGCAGTCATGCTGGCCTCATGACCTCGTAGGTGTCTATGGACAACACCAGCTCTTTGACTTAGAAATGGAGATGAGCACCACCCTCCAGAGTCGGACACGACTACAGTTAATTTCAAGGGGAAAGCTCTAACTTTACCTTTTACTTGACTCAATTGGGGAGAAAAAGCACTAGAATTCTTCTTGGTTCTTCTAGAAAGATGCGGTGCAGTGGTCTCGCAGCCTGTCTGCCCCTGAAGGAGAAGAGGCGGATGATGCCGAGAGCAGCGGCTCCAATGAAGCTGCCAGCACCGTGAGCGGCGACAATGACGGTAAGCGTCCGCCTGCCCAGATCTTCCAACTGCTTGTTTCTTCCATGGATGCTAATGTCATGGTTTTCCCTTCCCAGTATCTCTAGATGAAACTTCCTCAAATGCCTCCTGTTCCACGGAGCCTCAGAGCAAGACTGGGCCTATCCTGCGGGAGAGCCATAGAGCAGCTGCACAGGTAGGCAACCTGGTCAGGGCAGGGGAGCAGCATGGCATGTGAGGCTGGGTCAGAAATGAGGCATGGGCTTCCACTCTCGCTTTTACAAATAACTTATTTTGTACAGCATTTAAAAAATTAGTATTATTTTTATTTCATGTATTATTTTACTCTCTTTATTATTATTACATTCACAGTATTTTACCTTATTATTATTATTACATTTATTATTTTACACTATTTATTACTATAATTACATCTATTATTTTACTTTATTATAATTGCATTTATTATTTTACTCTATTATTACGTTTATTATTCTCCTCTATTATTACTGTTATTATTGCATTACCATTATTTTACTTGATTATTATTACTATATTTATTATTTTACTCTCTTTATTATTGTTGGAAGGATACGTACGTATATTTACACTGAAGATATGTAATGATTTAATCAGAGTTGAGCAGTCTTATCTCAAATTACAGTTTTATGTAAATATTAAAAAAAACATTTCACCTCCTGATGCCTCAATTAATGTAATAGGAGCCCTCGGTGGCGCAGTGGGTTAAACCCCTGTGCCGGCAGGACTGAAGACTCACAGGTCGCAGGTTTGAATCCGAGTAGAGGCGGATGAGCTCCCTCTATCAGCTCCAGCTCCTCATGCGGGGACATGAGAGAAGCCACCTCCCACAAGGATGATAAAAGCATTAAATCATCTGGGCGTCCCCTGGGCAACGTCCTTGCAGGCGGCCAATTCTCTCACACCAGAAGCGACTTGCAGTTTCTCAAGTCACTCCTGACACGACAAAAAAAAAATTGGTATCTATTTTTATTTTGAAATTTACCTGTAGTGGCTGCATTTCCCACCCTCGGCTTATACTCGAGTCAATATGTTTTCCCAGTTTTTTGTGGTAAAATTAGGTGCCTTGGCTTATATTCGGGTCGACTTATACTCGAGTATATACGGTAATTAAAGGAAATGGCATAATTATGCTGCATTTTCCTGGTACAATGGGAAAAACAATAATTCCTAGTCGTCGTGTGCATTCAGGCCAAAAGGCATACCATTTTCAGGTCTCTTTCTGTCCGATCCTGCATTTTGTTTACCAGAAAGTTACCCAAAAAGGGGAAGGTGTTTTCCATTTCATTCAGCAGAGATTCGGCCCATATTCGGTTCCAGGAATGACTTGTTGTCTTTACTGCTGAGCTGGCATCTGAGGTTGAGAATGAGTTTGCTTCGTGAAGGATGTTGAAGCCTTTTGCCAAGAGAGAGGCTGACTTTCCCTGTAGAATATGTTGACATTGTCCATCCAATGCGCTCATTCAATCTTTTCTGAAATGCAGGCAAGCAAACAGAAGAAAAAGGCAGGCGTGATGCTTCCTCGTGTAGTTCTGACTCCTCTGAAAGTAAACGGTGCTCATATGGAAACTTCATCAGGTGAGGAAAACTCCTCTCCCTCTTTCTGGATTGACCAATCTGCATTGCCTCTCCTGCCCTGGGCCTGTCCACTTCTATCCAGAGCAGCACCAATAAGAGGTTTCTTTGGTACTTACTAAGTCATTCAGTTCTCTTAAATACTTTGCTGTTCTGTTGTTTTTAACATAAAGCGGCTTCCTGGAAAATGTGCTTTGAAACAGTTATTGCTCCTCCGTTCTTATTTATTTATCGTGTCAGAAGTGATTTGAAGGTACAGTTGTAATGTATTTAAAAACACAAACAAAGTTAAAAACTTGGCATTGTACTAAATGTCATTTGACCAGAAGCTGGCCACTTGGAGCCTCTGTTTGTTTATTTATTTATCGTGTCTTCAGCAACCAGACCATTGTGTTACATTTCTAACAGAACAAAACAAACAAACATACAAAAACACAAATTTTGCAAGCTTGGTAGTTGATTAAATGTCCTTTAACCAGTATCTGGCCCTTAGTTCTCAGAATAAGTTGTGCAAACTGAATATACTAACACCAGGGTTTCAGCCGAAGCTTCAGACATACCATAGAGTTTTGTTTGCAGATACTTAAGTTCCAAGGAGGAGAATGTGGGGAGCTGCTCTCATGGTCCTGTGGGGTCTTCCTTGCAGCGTTCCCAGGGAAACACGTTGTGGGCGAGAGCAGCAGTGGTAGCAGTTCTTCGGCCCTTTGCAGCACTGCAGGACGCAGCAGGACGGAAATTGCCCGAGACCCCCCTCAGCTCTTCCGAGGATTCAGGAAACCCTCAGGCGGCAAGTATCCATTTATTGATTTATTTATTTCAAAGTTTTATATACTGAGCTTCTCACCTCATAAGAGGGACTCAGCCCGGTTTCCAACCATAAAAACACATACAATCGGTAAAATATCAAAATACACATTACAATAAAACATTTTAAAAGCACATATATTTAAAACTACAGTGGTCAGTCGTCATACTAAAATCGAATATACACCGCCTTCCATCCAGATCATTGTCTCATTCTTCGAAAGCCTGTCTCCATAACCACGACTTCACCTGTTTCCTGAATGTCAGGATTGTTGGGGCGGTTCTGACCTCTGGCGGGAGAGAGTTCCAGAGTCGTGGGGCCACCACCGAGAAGGCCCTGTCCCTCGTCCCCACCAGCCGCGCTTGTGAGGCCGGTGGGACCGAGAGCAGGGCCCCTCCAGACGATCTTAGTAATCTTGATGGTTCGTAGGGGAGAATACGTTCGGAGAGGTAAACCGGGCCGGAGTCGTTTAGGGCTTTATAGGTTAACACCAGCACTTTGAATTGTGCTCAGAAGCTAATTGGCAGCCAGTGGAGCTGGTGTAACAGCGGAGTGGTGTGCTCCCTGTACCCAGCACCTGTTAGTAATCTGGCTGCCGCACGTTGTACTTGCTGCAGGTTCCGGGCAGTCTTCAGAGGCAACCCCACAAGGTTTTGGAAAAAAGTGGCATTCATAACCTTTTTGAAAAGGAAAAAATGATGTTCTATCTGTTTGGCAAATGTGAATCTCCATGAACATCTGGAGACCACCTTTTGAAAACTCCTAGTCAAGTAAAGGCATGCCCTTGTTTGAACAAGTGGTGTTCACAAGCATTAATGTAATAACACACAGGTAACTCAGCTGTTAAACTGATAAACCATGTCTTTGAACACACACATATACACATGCAAACACACATATATACACAAATATACACACACAAAACACATATACACAGACTGGGCCACCGCAACGCGTGGCAGGGGATGGCTAGTAATACATAATAGCAATTGGAATTTGGGTGGAAGCATGGTTTGCTAAGACTATCCAAGTGTAACTTGGAACAGATTACATTAAATCTCCCTGGAGGCCAGCAGAGAAGAGGCTACAAGCCTTTGGAGGGGATCTCAAAGTTGCAGAAACAGCCCTGTCTTAAGCTGTCATTAATAGACCAGAGAGCAGAACCTTGGAGCTAAGCTTTAAGCTTAGCCAGGCTCTTGTGGATCCTGGCCAGTCCTTCAGGTCACTGACTCTCAAAGTCTTCAACGCAGAGATGCCAACCATCTTGGCTCCGAGGGCTTCATTCAGTGCCAGTCAGGGGGCTCAGTGTGCGCGCATGGAGCTCAGCATCTCTGGGGATTATCAACATCACTTGTGCAGATCTTTCTCTTCTGGAACAGGCAAAGGAGCCTGGGTGTGTCTGTAGTGATGCTGTTGGTATTTAGGTGATAGTTGCTTTTGATAGACTCCCACATCTTGTCTTCAGGCAGGTTGAAACCAGAATGGGTCCCTCTCAGTGTCTGCCTGGCCTTTCTGTCACTACCGGGTCTCACTGAGCTTCAGAAGCCTCCTAGAATTCCTTCCTTGAAGGCCATACCCAGATGGTGGAGTTGGGGGGACTCCTGCTTAGACTCACGACTGTTGTCTTGCGGAGTCCCGCACCATATTGTTTAACATGAAGCTACTGGGAGAGTTTGGGGCCATCTGTACACAAATGACACCAAACTCTACTATTGACATATGACACCCAACTCTACTATTCCTTTCCACCAAAAGCCAAGGAAGAAGCCCAGACCCTGAACCAGTGTCTATCTGCTGTTGTGGACTGGATGAGGACAAACAAATTGAAATTGAATCCAGACAAGATGGAGGTCCTCCTAGTCAAATCAGGGTATAGGATGGTAACCTGTGCTGGATGGAAAAGGTCCCACTCCCTTTGAAGACACAGGTCCACAGTCTGGGGGTCCTCCTGGACTCATCACTAAGCCTGTAGGCCTAGGTATTGGCGGTGGCCAGGAGGGCCTTCACACAATTAATACTTGTGCACCAGTTGCGACCGTACCTTCAGAAGCCAGAGTTGGCCATGGTGGTCCATGCTTTGTGTGCATCCCATTTAGACTACTGTAACGGGCTCTACGTGGGGCTGCCCTTGAAGAGTGTCTGGAAACTTCAATTAGTTCAGAGATCTGCAGCCAGTGCATTAACAGGTCCCTGGACCCAGGGAGCATACTTACCCCCCTGCTAAAGCACTTGCACTGGCTGCCAATTCCTTTCTGGAACCAATTCAAGGTGCTGGTTTTGACCTTTAAAGCCCTAAACAGTTCAGGTCCTACTTACCTATCAGATTTCATCTCCTCATACCAACCTGCCTGAATGTTAAGGTCTTCTAGTGAGGCCCTCCTCTCGTTGCTGCCACCATCGCAAAAGCGGTTGGCGGCCATGAGAGAGAGGGCCTTCTCGGTGGCCGCTCCAATTCTTTGGAACTCCCTCCCCAAGGAGGTTGAAACAGCCCCTTCCTTGACATCTGTTCAAGAGCAGCTAAAGACCTTCCTGTTTGCGCAAGCTTTTGATAAAGACACTTAGCTGTAATGATAGGAAAACTAACTTTTATTGAATCGTGCTAATGTTTACCATCTGTCTTGTTGAGTTTATTTATTTATTTGTTTTAGAACTTTTGTATCCCATTCTTCTCTACCTGCATGGAGGGACTCAGAACGGCTAACAGCACAAAATCAATGCTAGACAGTAAAACATTTTAAAACAACATACGTAATACAATAAGTTAAAATATATATAAAACCATTCACCAAGTTAAAACATCAATATCTCATAGTCTTTACCGGTCTCAGCCGCCGTCACTCTGCAAAAGCCAGATTCCAAAGCCAGGATTTCAATTGCCTGCAATAATTGTATTAGATAAATGTTTTTAAATATGTTTATCTATTTCTTCATGTAAAATTGTTTTTGTAGATTATTGCTTTACATATACATATTGTTTTGTGTAATATTTATAATATAGTACAATAAAATATTTATAATATAATATGCTGTTTAACCCCCTGGTGGTTAAACCGCTGAGCTGTTGAACTTGCTGACCAAAAGGTTGCTGGTTCGAATCTAGAGAGCAGAGTGAGCTTCCACTGTTAGGCCCAGCTTCTGCCAACCTAGTAGTTCAAAAATATGCAAATATGAGTAAATCAATAAGTACTGCTTCTGCAGAAAGGTAACAGCGCTCCATGCAGTCATGCCAGCCACATGACCTTGGAGGTGTCTACGGACAATGCTGGCTCTTCGACTTAGAAATGAAGATGAGCACCAACCCCCAGAGTCAGACACGACTAGACTTAATGTCAAGGGAAACATTTGCCTTTTTATTGTTTTGCATGGTCTTTTATATAATGTTGTAGGTTGCTTTGGGTCCCGTTTAGGGAGAAAATCAGGGATATAAAGGTTATTGTTTATTTATTTACTATATTTATACCCCACCCTTCTCACCCCGAAGGGGACTCAGGGCGGCTTATAAACTATAGCAAAAATTCAAAGCTGCATCGTGTGCATAACAATGAACATACCATATAAAATTATAAAACAATTAAAACAGTAATACAGATTAAAAGCCTACAAAGTTGTTGTTGTTGTTGTTGTTGTTGTGAGAGAATTCTTTGTGCTTCAGCCCTGTGGAGTGGAAAAGGAGGTGTGTGTGTGTCCTTGAATGTTGCTGGCATTGTGTTCCTGTTTTTATGGGATTCTTTGGTAATTCCAGGACAAATGAAGAGGAACAGGGGGGACGATATAGATTTTGAGACGCCTGGCTCCATTCTCGTCAACACCAACCTCCGAGCGCTGATTAACTGCAGGACCTTCAACGCGCTGCCCCTCCACTTCCAGCAGCAGCTCCTCCTCCTCCTCCCTGAAGTGGACAGACAGGTCCGGATGCCTATGGGTCCCATCCTTCATTCCCAAACCAAAGCCAGTGCGCACACTTTTTTTTTTTTACTGATTGTGGTTTGTTACCTTTCAGCCTGGGACTGATGGACTGATGCGGCTGAGCGGAAGTGCCTTGAACAATGAGTTCTTTGCCCTCGCTGCGCAGAGCTGGAGAGAGAGGCTGGCTGATGGTAGGTGCATTCAAATCACCCCTGACAGATGGCCATCCAGCCTCTATTTAAAAGCTTTCAAAGAAGGAGCCTCCACCACACTCCGGGGCAGAGAGTTCCACTACTAAACGGCTCTCACAGTCCGGAAGTTCTTCCTCATGTTCAGATGGAATCTCCTCTCTTGTAGTTTTGCTTTCAGGGAATTATTCGCACTCCAGTTTGGCGCTCCCTGTTGCAAAGGATTCTCCAAACTGAGCTCTTGCCTGACTTTGCTCCCAGTCCTGCCCTGCAGTTATACTTCACAGTGACTGGGTAGTTGGTTGCCATGGGCCAGTTCTCTTCTGGGGAAGCTGATCTGCACATATCTGTCCTTCTGCAAATCTCTATGAATCCCAGAAGCGCAGTTTCAAAACAGCTACTCTGGGGGCTTGAGTATATATTTTCTTTTTAAAGTAAATCAGATTTAAAAGTAATATGCATTGCAAAAAAAAATACTGAAGAGTGTAGGGGAAATGCCAAACCTATCTCTTTTTAAAAAGGACACAAATCCTGAGATCCTCCTGACACTTTGGATGGAATCTGGAGATTGAGACTTTGATTCTGTCCTGTTCCATGCATGCCCCTTGTGTGAATCCCATTGTGTCAGTACTCTTAACACCAGCTTCCTCCTGTACTTGGAAGACTTCAGGTTGTTGGTTCTTTTACAGGGGAGTTCACTCATGAAATGCAGGTTCGCATAAGACAGGAAATGGAGAAGGAGAAGAAAACAGAACAGTGGAAGGAGAAGTTCTTTGAGGACTACTATGGGCAAAAGTAAGTCTGCCAGCCTATTAAGTAGCAGCTCATGTATTTTCAATTATCTAACATTAGTGGGGGTCTGTGGGGTTTAGCTCCCCTTAAGACTCCACTCCCTTTGTACCTCCAAGTTTTAACTTCTTTTTAACAACAAAAATAGCCTTCAAGCATCTTTTTTATTGTGAGGAAGGGACTGGCGTTGTTCAAAGCAAACCTGCTCTCAGCCCTGATATTTTGATCAGTTAGTGCTAAGGCAAGGAGCGGGGGGGGGGGGGGTCACAAGGGGAGTTTCAGAGGGGTTGCCAGAGACCATCAGAAACCACCCATTTCTGATGGTCTTAGGAACCCCTTTGGCAGAGAAGGCTGAAGATCTCCCCACCTGTCTTTCTCTTCCATGTTGCTCTGGATGTAGGCGAACGAACACTCCAAAACTCAAAGTCAGTGCCCATCAAATGCTTCCAGTATTTTCTGTTGGTCATGGTAGTTCCGTTTTTGGTGGAGTTCAGAATTCTCTGATTGTAGGTGAACTATAAATCCCAATTGCTGGGCCTTGAGATTTTCAAGAGAGGCCCTTCTCTTGGTCCCACCTTCATCTCAAGTTTGGTTGGTGGGAACTGGAAACTGACCATAGAATCACACTGGAAGACCTAAAGACTCATAAAGAGAACATTTTAAGCTAATGCATGAAGAATCAAATCTGCAAAAGCAGTAAAGTCTGCAAATTTGGAGTGTAGACTATAGAACAGGCATGGGCAAACTTCAGACCTTCCTCCAGGTGCTTAAGGGCTGAGGGGGGAAAGAAAGGGGCCTGAGGCTGTTAGGAATGGTGGGAGTTGAAGTCCAAAACACGTGGAGGGAAGGCCAAAGTTTGCCCATGCCTGCTATAGAACTACTATATATACTCAAGTATAAGCCTAGTTTTTTCTGCACTTTTTGGGGCTGAAAAAGCTCCGCTCGGCTTATACTTGAGTCAAGGTGATTTATTCTTTTACTCTGTTATTAGTATTTTATTACATTTATTATTTTACTCTTATTATATTTACATTATTTTACTCCATTATTATTCTATTTCTTATTTTGCTCTATTATTATTATTATTATTAGTAGTAGTAGTAGTAGTAGTAGTAATAGTAGTAGTATTACATTTACAGTATTTTACCCTATTATTATTACATGTATTATTTTAATCTACTTATTATTATTATTATTATTATTATTATTATTACATTTACAGTATTTTACCCTATTATTACTACATTTATTATTTTACTCTATTATTACTGTTTTTATTGCATTTTCATTATTTTACTCTATTATTTTTATTACATTTATTATTTACATTGAAGGAGGTTAGAATACTGGTTTAATCAGAGGTGTACAGTCTTATCTTAAATTACAGTTTTATGTAAATATTCAAAAACATTTAGCCTATTGATGCCTCAATTAATGTAATTTTATTGCTATCTATTTTTATTTTGAAATTGACCCATAGTGACTTTTCCACCCTCGACTTATACTCGAGTCAGTGTGTTTTCCCAGTTTTTTTGTGGTAAAATTAGGTGCCTCGGCTTATATTTGAGTATATATGTGTGAAGGAGCGTGGTTAAAGCTTACTGCCACCTAATGTGTGAGGAAAGCTGGGCAACGATCAATATCAGCTTAGGAGCTATTTTATAAAGGGACTATTAATTACAGAAGGCTTTATTCATCTGATAGCGCAGCGTTTACTGTCCCCGGCTTGACTCCACTTCCCATGCAGGCTGTTTGCCTTGAGAGAAACTGTATCAGGCAAGGCTTGAGGAAAACAGTAACAAGTTTATTTTAACAGGAGTATAACATGTTTAACTGTTTCTTCACAAGAGGCACAAATCTTGATTGGTTACATTAGTAAGGTTTCATGAGTAATCTCAGGCACAGACTTCAGGAGATTTCTATAAGCAGATGTAACTCTTCTGGACAACTGTCCTAATAAAACAAATAAGCTAAAAGGCTTATTAACAGACTTGGCTCCCAGCCAAACCTTGATTCTTAACTCAGAATCAATAACCCCCTGTAGTTTTATCATTACTGGGTCCTTTTCTGTAACCCCTTTGGTCACCAATTAATTCCCTGAATCTCCACCCAGAGATTCAGTCTTCTCAGTAGCTCACCGGCTTACTGACTGACTTTTCTTAAAAAGTTGCGTCGTGAAGAGGCAGTTGGCTCCGCCCCTGTTGCTATGGCAACTCAGCTAATGCCAAGCCACCATCTCCAACAAAACATAATCCTCCATACTTACCATCCATAAACTACTGTTTAAATTACACATAACCAAAGGAATAAAATTTACACATCGTCACAATATGGTAATTACTTTTGCCAACTGGCTCAGAAAGGATGTCAGTCAACAGCTAGGCCTTGGTCCATCTAGTTTTGTTCTTATTAAGTCCTTGTTGCCCTCATAAAAATGAGGGATTCCTCTCTCTGTTTGCTGTTTGCTAACCGTATTGCGTTGTTAACCGACAGGCTGGGCTTGACCAGAGAGGACCCTCAGCCACAAAACTCCGTGCCCAATGAGGTGGAAAAGAAGAGCGCCCCGGCTCCTGTGGAAGCGGAGCCCGTCCGGGTTCAGCGCGGCCCCGTCACCCGCCAGCGCGACGGGCATTTCAAGAAGCGCCCCTTGCGATGCCGCACGCGGAGGAACCTGTACAAGGTGCAAGAGCCCAAGCAAGCCAAAGAGGCCGCCGAGGCATTGCCGCCTGCGGAGCCGGAGCCCGCCGACAGCAGCAGAGATGCCAAGCCGGAGGTGGACTCGCCTGAGAAGCGACAGGTGTCTCCGGAGAGGGAGAGCGTACCGGAGGCGACCAGGGTTCCGAGCAAAGCAGAAGACCCGGTGGCAGTGGCAGCACCGGCAGTGGCTGCGGCAGCCACGGCGGAGCGAATCCCCATCGTGCCGCAAGAGGCCCAAGAGCAGGAGTCCAAGGAGCAGAAGAGGAAGTGCTTTGAGCAGGCGGCCTCTCCCTCCTTCCCCGAGAAGAAGCCCCGGCTTGAAGACCGTCAGTCCTTTCGTAACACAATTGAAAGTGTTCACCCAGAAAAGCCACAGCCCACCAAAGAGGAACCCAAAGTCCCACCCATCCGGGTAAGGGAGAGGCCCGTCCCAAGGCGTTGCCCTCTGAATTTGTGGTTTCCCAGAGTGGCCTGAGGAAGGGGCTTAATAACAAAAGACCCTCCCCATAAATGTACAGCAGAGTAACTTATTAGCAGCAGCATGACCCAACACCAGTAGCCCAAAGTGATAAAAAGAACAAAAGCACACAGACCAATGCTATCTCTTCAGTAGCAGGCTTCTCTTTGTAGTAAAATAATATGGTTGCACTATTTACAATCTGTGGTTCCCCAGATGTTTTGGCCTTCAATTCCCAGAAATCCTAACAGCAGGTCAACTGGCTGGGAGTTCTGGGACTTGTAAGCCAAAACACCCGGGGACCCACACGTTGAGAACCACTGATTTACCACAACAAGGTATCCATAACAAAAGTAAACAAATGCACCATAGCTTTACACACAGCAGCCTTCACACTGGAGTTTTCTCACATGAGGCTTCTCTCACACAGAGGTTTACCTCACACTCCTCAGGACAACACTAGCTTTTGCCCACTGACTCTTAACAGGCTTCGGCCTACTCACTCTCCTCAGACGACAGTAGCGTCTGCCCACTAATTATAACAGGCTTTGGCCTACTCACTCTCCTCAGGTTGACACTAGCTTTTGCCCACTAATTCTAATAGGCTTCGGCCTAATCACTCTCCTCAGGACGACACTAGCTTTTGCCCACTAATTCTAATAGGCTTCGGCTACTCACTCTAATCAGGATGACACTAGCTTTGGCCCACTAATTCTAATAGGCTTCGGCCTACTCACTCTCCTCAGGACAACACTAGCTTTGGCCCACTGACTACAGGCTTCGGCCTACTCACTCTCCTCAAGACAGCACTAGCTTTGGCCCACTGACTACAGGCTTCGGCCTACTCACTCTCCTCAAGACAGCACTAGCTTTGGCCCACTGACTACAGGCTTCGGCCTACTCACTCTCCTCAAGACAGCACTAGCTTTGGCCCACTGACTACAGGCTTCGGCCTACTCACTCTCCTCAAGACAGCACTAGCTTTGGCCCACTGACTACAGGCTTCGGCCTACTCACTCTCCTCAAGACAGCACTAGCTTTGGCCCTCTGACTACAGGCTTCGGCCTACTCACTCTCCTCAGGACAACACTAGCTTTGGCCCACTGACTACAGGCTTCGGCCTACTCACTCTCCTCAGGACAACACTAGCTTTGGCCCACTGACTACAGGCTTCGGCCTACTCACTCTCCTCAGGACAACACTAGCTTTGCACTGACTACAGGCTTTGGCCTACTCACTCTCCTCAGGACAACACTAGCTTTGGCCCACTGACTACAGGCTTCGGCCTACTCACTCTCCTCAGGACAACACTAGCTTTGGCCCACTGACTACAGGCTTTGGCCTACTCACTCTCCTCAGGACAACACTAGCTTTGGCCCACTGACTACAGGCTTCGGCCTACTCACTCTCCTCAGGACGGCACTAGCTTTGGCCCACTAACTCTTAACAGGCTTTGGCCTACTCACTCTCCTCAGGACAACACTAGCTTTTGCTCACTAACTCTAACAGGCTTTGGCCTACTTACTTTCCTCAGGATGACACTAGCTTTGGCCCACTAATTCTAATAGGCTTCTGCCTACTCACTCTCCTCAGGATGGCACTAGCTTTGGCCCACTGACTAACAGGCTTCGGCCTACTCACTCTCCTCAGGCTAACACTAGCTTTGTGTTCCCTGGTCAGTTTTAGAAACACATCCTAGTTATGACGCAGAGATCTAATTGGGTTGTTGTAGGTTTTTTCTGGCTATATGGCCATGTTCTAGAGGCATTCTCTCCTGATGTTTTGCCTGCATCTATGGCAAGCACCTCACTACCTCTGAGGATGCTTGCCATAGATGCAGGCGAAACGTCAGGAGAGAATGCCTCTAGAACATGGCCATATAACCCGAAAAAACTACAACAACCCAGTGATTCCAGGAAAGCCTTTGAATTGGGGTGGTTGTAAGTTTTTTTCGGGCTATAGGGCCATGTTCTAGAGCATTCTCTCCTGATGTTTCGCCTGCATCTATGGCAAGCATCCTCACTACCTCTGAGGATGCTTGCCATACATGCAGGCAAAACGTCAGGAGAGAATGCCTCTAGAACATGGCCAAATAGCCCAAAAAACCCTACAACAACCCAGTGATTCCGGCCATGAAAGCCTTCGACAAAGACCTAATTGTTGCTCAGCCCATCTGCACCTTGTGTGAGACTGTTCTGTAATTGTTCTCGTTTGTTTCCTTTTCAGATTCAACTTTCCCGTATCAAACCACCCTGGGTGGTTAAAGGTCAGCCAGCCTACCAGATATGTCCTCGGATTATCCCCAATCCAGAGCCCTCCGGCCAGGACCGAAGCGGGCCCCCAGCCGCTGCTGACTTTAAGGCCTGTGCTCTGCAAGGCCGGCTCCAGCGAGAGGCTGCTGCTCCTCCCGCCGCCACTGCCGCCGCCACGGCCATTGGGGGCGGGGGTGGGCCGGGAGGGGGGCAGCGGGGCGAAGGCGGCGGGGGCGACGGTGGTGGTGGTCACAACGGCCGCGGCCGCCGTCGCCGCCGGAGGAGGGTCCGGCAGACCGGCCGCCGCCCTGGGCGCTGGCGGCCGAAGAGAACTCGTGGGAAGTGTGTGCCCGATCTACAGCGAGCACAGCTACTGCCGCCTTCCCAGCTAGAAGGGGAGCCTGCCTTGGAGACGGCCAAGCCCAGCTCCCCAGCCTCCGAGGGCGAGGCTTCGTTTCCTGCAAATGAAGGCCAGCGGGTGTTCGAACTGGCTGCCGGCCTTACGTCGCTTGGCTGTGAAGATGCGGCACAACTTTCAGAGGCAGCATCCTTTGGTGGGACCACAACTGAGCCAGCCCTTGATTGCTCTTTGAGGAAAGTGCCAACAGGCCGATCGGAGGAAATCAGTCCTGGACATGTTTTGCAAGCAGAAAGAGAGCTACCTTCAAACAGTCCGCTGAACCGTTCTTGGCAGGAGGACTCTCCTGTGAATCTCCTTGGAGACACAAATGTGGTAGGAGAGCATGATGGTGCTACGCCGGTAACGCTGAACTGCAGCAACTCTACTGTGAAGGGATCCTCCCATGTCTCCAGTTATGCCACAGGTTTGGCCTTGGAGAGCAGCGAAGAAAAGGCATTGGAGGCTTTCGGCTCCTGCGGGCAGGAACATCTCTCCCTTCCAGAGAACTCTAGCACCGCTGCGGGAGAAGATTTGGCCCAACCGTTCCACATATCCCAGTGGCACAGCAGAGAGAGGCCCAGCTGTGACACAGGCGAAGCGCACACTGAAGAGTCAGATCCACCGCAGGAGAGATTTGCCCTTAAGAGCTGCCTTCTGACTTGGGAGGCGTTGCTGGAGACGGGAACAGAGGCAGGCGATCCGCCGGCAGAAGCAGTGGCGGACACGAACCCATTCCTCAGTGATGAAGAAACCAGGAGTGGGCTTAGTGAGACAACAGAGACGGCATCTGACCTGGAAGCCGAGTTGACAGATGACAACGTGGACGAAGCGGCAGAGAACGGGGCTGCTCCGGGCAGGGGCCGCCTGGTGCTCACACCTGAATGTTCTGTGAGAACGGAGACTTCTACGCACATTGATAACTTGCCTTCCAAAGTGGGAACCACGGGCATCTGCTTGCCACAAGCCTGGGCACCGCAGCCTTCTCTTCCCCAGGAAGACCACCAACCAAGTGTCTGTCTTGATTTGAAGAAGCCGGAAAAGCCAGCGCGGGCGGCCTCCAGGCCTCTCTCCATCGAAGCAAGCAACCCTCTGGTGGTCCAGTTGCTCAGGGGGAGCCTCCCTCTGCACGCGGTTCTTCCTGGCTCTTGCAGCATCGGCCCGGGCGCAAAGCCCGTGCCTTCTCCAGGCAAGCTCTCAGCAGTGGGGAATAGGAGCAGCGACCGCCTTTCCCAAAATACCTCTCGGGATGCGAACGGCAGAGTCAGAAACGGATATGATATGTATAACTGTTTGAGGGACTCTTCCACGAAGCAGTCCGCTCCCGTCTCCATACATTTGAAGAAAGAGCCAAAGGGCTTGGAGGGGAAAACCTCAGATTTGAACCCCAATTCCAAATCTGTCAAAGCTGTGAGCATTCCCCGGAAGTCTGGCGACGACGCCTTGGACCTCCGAAAGGGACCCCTTTCTTCTGGTGCTTCGGAGGAGCCAAAAGGCTCCCCTACTGATCCTGCTGGTGGAAACTCAGAAGAGAAGCTGAAGGCATCTCCTGCCGCCCCACTCTCTTCCTGCGCGACTTCTTTGGGTCCTGCGCAGCCAAGCATTGACTCTGTTTCCAAGAACCAAGGAGCAGGCGGTAAGAAGGTCTTTGGCCCTGGCTTCCCCTGCGGCGCCGCTCCGAGAGCTCAGCATCCCCAAATGCGGGAGGCCTTCCCCATGCTGAGCATGCTCTCGCACAACAAGGCAGTGTCATCACCGGCCAAGAGTGCCGTGCCGGAAGATAGCATTGTACCAGCGAGGGAGGATTGGCCCACCAAACCACGTCTTCGTGCGGCCGGCAGCGGAGGGGTGGAGAACAAGCGTGTCTCGGCAGGTCCCGGTCCTGCCAAGCGGAACGGCGAAAAGAGGAAAGAGGCCGAACTGATGGAGCAGCTGCAGGCTCTTCCCCTGGCGCGGGACTTGTCCTTCTTCCGGTTGCCCAGGGAGCCGGGCAAGGGCCTCGCTCAGCCCTTGGAGCCCTCTTCCATCCCCTCGCAACTCAATATCAAGCAGTCCTTTTACGGGAAGCTGTCGAAGCTGCAGCTGAACGCCCCCAGCCTCAGCTACACCTCTGCCGCTCCCGTTTTCCCAAGGAGTCTTATGGGGAGCATGACGGCGCTGGGCCCCAAAGCCAACTTCGCCGCTTCCCGCTCGGCGCAGATGTTTGTCGACGGCAGCCGCGCGGAAGAGATTTCCCTCAAGTGTTCGTGCAGCCTGAAAGCCATGATCATGTGCAAGGGCTGCGGGGCGTTCTGCCACGACGACTGCATCGGCCCCTCCAAGCTGTGCGTGCTGTGCCTTGTGGTAAGATGATGAATTCGCCGCTCCGGGAGGAGGAAAGCAGTATATTTAAGAGTGTCTGCTTTGGTCACGAGCAAACCTGGAACTTGTACACAAAATTATCATTCTGGTCATAATAGAGGGAAAGTTTTCACGCTGTATGTTTTGGTCTTTAGGCTGGAGTTGGATGTGGGGACAGTCCGGATTTTGAGGAAACTATGGAACGTTTTGCCGGTTTGAATGGCTTCCTGGGGTGGGGGGCACCTTGTTCCACAAATGGAGCTTTTTGTAAAGGCAGGGAGAGCGAGCCCTGTCTCCGTTGAAAGGCTGATTTGCAGAATTCTGTCTTCCGTTCCCGCTTCCTGCCGTCTCCTTCACCTGACCTCTGGGTCTGGACATTTTCGTGGTCCTCCAGTTAAAGGAGCGCAGGAGGCGAGTGGCTGTGGGAGAGGGGTGGCCACGGGAAAGGGGTGTGCCTCACTTCCTGCCCTGGCATCTGTGGGGCAGAGGCATACGGCCCACTGCCCCCCGCGAGTATCGAAGCCGCACACGACTTCTTGATTTCTAAGCAGTGTCATTTTTTAAAAGAAGTAAAAGGTATATATAAATATATAAATATTATATATAAATATATAATTTTAATTTTTTTTGTTTTCTTCTTGGGTGTAAAAAAAAAAACCAGTGAAATGTTTGGCTCCTATATATGTACCCTTCTATGCATCTGTTTGATCATGTATTTATATGTTGTACACAGTACTGGCCAATTCTGTAAATCGATGTTATGTACATATACAGGTTTGGTTTTTGTTTTCGTTTCTTCTTTTTTTTTAAAGTCCTTTATTTTTCAGGCAGAAGCAGTATTGCATTAAAAGTGGTGTTGGTTACTACTCGCTCCCCTTAGTCAAGAGCTGCTGTGTGTTTGTCCCGCCTCTCGCTCGCGTTCCTGCTTTTCACGGTGGGAGGGGATGAGCGCCCGCTTCCAAGGAAGGCCTCGCCTGGGCCTTGCGATTCTGGCTTTTGCCCCTCCTGAAAAGCAGTCCCCCACCCCCAAATGCTGCCGTTGCATCCCTCGCTGTGGGTGAGTAGGGGGCCCTTTGGAGGAAGCAAGGTCTTTGAGCTTTTCCTGCCCCTTCCTTCCGTTCCCACCTACCTCTTTGCAGTCTCAGCCTCCCTGCTCGAGTGCTATAGACGTCTTGTCTTTTTCAGTAAGGAAACCTGGTTTTCATCTCCGAAATGGTGTGTATTTTTAATCAGTGGCAGCTTTTTCTTTTGGTAGGAAACACGGAAGAGAGGGAGAGTACGGCAAAGTGCACTGCGCTTATTAGGGGCAACCAAGGTCTGAAAGGTGCATACCAAAGATGGGGGGCCACGCAGTCGGGTCCCCCTCGCTCTGCATCCTCCAGAGCCTCTGTTGTGAACAGACTGATGATTCCGGTCTGGTGTTTTTTTGGGGGGCGGGATTTGGGGGAGCCCTCTCTGATGATCCCTGATGTTGTATGTCCCTTGTGGTATTGGAAAAAAAATAAAAAAAAAAGATTTTGAAAAGCGGAGCATGTGCTTATTACGGTCTTGCCTCTGCGAATGCCTCAGTGGGAGAGGAAGGGGTTTGGCTTTGCATCTGGAGCCACTCCTTGGAGATGCCATGGGAAACCATCAGTTGAGGCAGTTTGTGAAATCCTAAGTGAGAGGGCCCTTCAGGGGAAGAGGAGGAGATGGGATGCTTCTCCCTGAGATCCACATTGTGGGATACTGAGGGCTATGGAATCGGATTATAGAGTGGGGAAAGACCAAGGGCCATTCAGCCCAACCCCCTTCTGCTAGGAAGGAAGGCACGGTCCAAGCTCTCTATTCCTGCCACTGTTAGAATTTTCTTCCTAATCTAATTCTCGTCTTCCTATTTGAAACTATTGCTCAGTGTTGTCTCTGGAGCAGCAGAGAACAAGCAAGCCCTATGAGGAGCGGCTTAAGGAGCTGGGCATGTTTAGCCTGAAGAAGAGAAGGCTGAGAGGAGATAAGATAGCCATGTATAAATATGTGAGAGGAAGCCACAGGGAGGAGGGAGCAAGCTTGTTTTCTGCTTCCTTGGAGACTAGGACGCGGAACAATGGCTTCAAACTACAAGAGAGGAGATTCCATCTGAACATGAGGAAGAACTTCCTGACTGTGACAGCCGTTCAGCAGTGGAACTCTCTGCCCTGGAGTGTGGTGGAGGCTCCTTCTCTGGAAGCTTTTAAACAGAGGCTGGATGGCCATCTGTCAGGGGTGATTTGAATGCAATATTCCTGCTTCTTGGCAGAATGGGGTTGGACTGGATGGCCCATGAGGTCTCTTCCAACTCATTGATTCTATGATTCTATGCCTGCTCCTTTCAAATATTTAAACTTGGCTCTCATGTCCCTTTCTCTCAACCTTCTCTTAGAATCATTGAGTTGGAAAAGACCTGGTGGGCAATCCAGTCCAACCCCCTGCTGCTAAAAAGCAGGAAAATCACATTCAAAGTTTCAGAATATCGATTAATGGTATTGATCCGAAGCCACTTCAACGCTGCCCTATAACCCAGGATCTGATCCCCAGGTTTTCTGTTTATCCCAGATTATCATAGAGTTGGAAGAGACCTGGTGGGCAATCCAGTCCAACCCCCTGCTGCTAGGAAGCAGGAAAATCACATTCAAAGTTTCAGAATGTCGATTAATGGTATTGATCCAAAGCCACTTCAATGCTGCCCTATAACCCAGGATCTGATCCCCAGGTATTCTGTTTATCCCAGATTATCATAGAGTTGGAAGAGACCTGGTGGGCCATCCAGTCCAACCCCCTGCTGCTAAGAAGCAGGAAAATCACATTCAAAGTTTCAGAATGTCGATTAACGGTATTGATCCGAAGCCACTTCAACGCTGCCCTATAACCCAGGATCTGATCCCCAGGTAGTCTGTTTATCCCAGATTATCATAGAGTTGGAAGAGACCTGGTGGGCAATCCAGTCCAACCCTCTGCTGCTAAGAAACAGGAAAATCACATTCAAAGCACCCCTGACAGGTGGCCATTCAGCCTCTGTTGAAAAGCCTCCAAAGAAGGAGCCTCCACCTCAGTCCGAGGCAGAGAGAGAGGTCCACTGCTCCTTACAGTCAGGAAGCTCTTCCTAATGTTCAGGTGGAATCTCCTTTCCTGTAAAGCCTTCGACAATACAACAAAAGTAATGTCACAGTTGGGGGTCACCACAACATGAGGAAATGAATTAAGGGGTCGCAGTATTAGGAAGGTTGAGAACCACTGCTCCAGAGCCTTTGATCGCTGCAGAAATAGGTTGCTCTGCTTTCCAGAGGTCTAGCCCATGAATTGCTTTGGAACGGTGGCCCATGTGGGCCGGCAAATGGCCCGTGGGCCTTCAAAACCAAGCTCTGGATCCAGAGAGATGCCGCGGGCAGCCAGGCCAGAAGGGGTGAGATGCAATTCTGTTTGTTATACAGTGTTTATTAAGTAGATTCAGTCTTATAATATGATATACAGACTCCAAAAGAAATTCCACATACTTATGAAATCAGTGCATTTAGCAAGTAATACCATGGATGGAAAAGAACCGCTTGATTTAAAACAGCTCGTTGGTCTTTTTCGTTTTTGTTTTTGTTTTTTTTTCAAAGTGAGTGGGACAAAGGAGGTTGGCCTGTGCTACTCATTTCACAAACAGAAACAGAATTTTAAAGTTGCATCACGTAGAACAAACACACGCTCTAAGAATTTTAAAATATTAAGCCACATTTACTCGGAAAAAAGATCCACTGTATAGAACACAAAAAAAGTATTAATTTTTTTTCTCTCCATAGCACATATGGAGGAGGAAGTGCCCATCTGCTTAGAAGAGCCACGTAAAATTGCATAGGTGCCTGTCAGGAAAAGTCTTCAAAAGAGAATTCGACTGATTTCAGCAAAGTGTTACTTTTTCAAGTTGGTTCTCAGTGCCGTTCGGCTTCTAGGGCCACGTCTCTAGGAAAATGCACGCGGGTGTCTTGCGTCAAGCGCTGGGCTTTTGAAGCCCCTGGAAACTGCCCTCTCCCTGCATCTTCCCCCCCCCTTGGTCCCACTTTGTGGCCTGCCTTCGTGGTGCTAAAAGGAGAGGAGCGGATGCCTCGAATGGGAGCATCCTGTGATTTGACTGAGGAGTGAAACCCTACCTGTTTGCCTTCAGCGGACCTCTTTGGGTCCGAGAGGCTGATAACAGAACTCGCCACGAGGAAAACAAGGGGAATCTCAGTGTGCACACCCCCTTTTTTCACCCTGGGTCTGGGTGCGTGCACCCACCGTGTTATTTTTCGGGGTACAGAAATGGGTGGGATCTGGAATAAGGGGGGTCGTGTGGCTTTTGCTAAGCAGATGAAAACGCCGGCGAGGCTTTTCGCCTTCCTCGCCCAAAAGAAGCGGGTCTCCTTGCAGAACACAGAACGGAGGGGTTTACTTGGGAGGTTTTCTGTACATGTAAACAGGTACACTTTCACTGAGTCCAAAGTCAGGAGCAAAAAAGTACAAAGGTTCACATTGGTCTTAGGTACAATACAGGCGAAGAAACATTTTTTTTTTTTTTGAGCCGTGGCGGCTCTTGGAAACAACAACCAAACCAAACGCTCTAAAAAGCACCACTAAATTATATATAGATAGATTAAAGATATAAAAAAAATCAGACCACGGACAGATTGTAGTTGGTAATCTCGGTGAAATCGCTAGGCTACCTTGTAAAAAGTTTTACAAAAAAGTTTTACAAATCAAAACTTCTGGTTTTTTTTAAATATTTTAAACCCTCTGAGTTCAAAGCAGCATTTTCTTGAATATGAACTGGAGCAGGCTGTTAGCGGCCACCCGCAAAGGAGGGGGAAGTGGCCCCTGGGGTCGGGGAACGGATGGGACGAGAAGGGAGTCATTTCTGCTAAGTGTCCAGAGAAAGCTCTTCCGGGACCAAGGTGTTGCTGCTGGGTAGAAAACACTGGGAGAGAAAGAGCAGGGTGGGGAAGTAATGGCCACAGGGCAAGGTTTTAGTCTTTCCCTTCACCAGTTTGCGTTAAAGGCTTCGGCCTTTTTCAACACAGAATTGCAAGTGGGTTATGATTCCTGATTTTTTAAGATAACCAGCTTGCAAGGCTATGTTGAAAAGGCCCAGGGTCCCTGTTCAAAAAGGGCCAAGAAATGGCTTCTTTGACCCAAAAATGGAGCATACAGATGCCAGATGTGGGACCTGCCAGGAATCCATGAAGGCCAAGTGTTGGGTTGTGAGCCCAGTGGACTTTTCCCTCTCTCTTTTGGCCCGTTCCGGCCCCTACCGTGTCCTGCTAGGGTTTGAAAACTCACAAAGCAGCCACCGGCGTGCGAAGCCAAGTCCCAACATGGACGTGGTCTCCTATTTGATCCAGAGGCATCTTAACAAAAGCAGTCACCACCGAAGCACCCCTCCGTCCCCCCCAAATGTCATGGCTATGTCTTCCTGGCGGTGCCTCTAGCAAAGGATGAGGATTTCTCAGGACAGCGATTGTCTCTGCCACTCTTCTAAATGCTATGTTTTCCACAAAGGGCTTGTGGCAAGGTGATTTTAGGAACTAAACAAGAATTGTAACGGGTTAGGGTTGTTCCCCGCTGGCGCTTTACCCATCAATAAATATTTACACGGAAATCAAATTTGGAAGGAAGAACAGCAGGCTTGGTGCACCCAGGGCAGGAGGGGAATTCAAGTTGGAAAGGGGTTGGGTGCACGCTGGAAGGCTTAATCCAGCAAACCCCTGAAATTCCGGTCTTTTCCCAATAAAGAAACGAGACAGTAGATGAATGAGAACAACAGCTGCTCTCTTGCAGAGCGGCTGAAGTTTACGGGCAGCAGCAATGGCTAGAAACCTCTTGAGAGTATTGGCCACCATTGATTCCTGAGAGGTTCTTGGGTGTAAACAGTGGCTTAAGACTGACAGCCGGACCCCACAGGCGTGGATATGGAAAGAAACCCCATTCCACAAAACGAAACTGGCCGGGATGGCCACAGAAGTGGAACGCTCGCTGTGTCCCACTTGGTGGGACAAGGCAGAGGGAGGCGTTGAAGATGGGAGGCTGCCAAGAAAGAAAGCATCTCAGCAATGCTGCTCTTCCGCAGTCTGGGGAAAAGTGGGGTGCTTAATGGGGCGGATGAAGGCCAGCGAGGAGTGGAAGGGGGTTTAGAGAATCCGGCCGGACTCAGGCTGGAGAGTTTCTGGTTGCCACTGCTGACCATGGCGTATCGGTTCTAGCAGCCCGCTCTCCTCCGTTCCTGATTTTAGTAGCATGGCTCAATATTGCACCGAGCAAAACAAGTGCATGACAAGGACTACAGGGAGGACGGGGTCGTTTGGAGGAGGGGGAAAAAAGTGGCTCAGCCTCTTTCCAGACACCTTGCCGGGCTGCAAAGGGCCCTTTCAGGGGGAAACAAAACAAAACAAAACAAACAACCTTGCAGAAAGAACAAGAACAGGAAAGATTGGGTTTGCCTCCTTCGGAGACTCTTCTCCCGAGGGGGAAAAAGAGAGTGTGTGGCTTCCTCCCGAAATGGGGAAGAAAAACTAGAAGCAGCAGCAGCTCGGGCCGCCAATAGAAGGGGTCCCCTGAGGTTGGGCTCTCCATCCAAGAGCCGATTTCGGGGGGAGAACTTGGGGGACACACCGCCATCCAGAGTGAGGTAGAGGGTGGAGGACGAAGGCCAGGCAGTTGTTTGGTCTCTTGGCCCCCAGTGGCTTTTCCTTTAAAGTGACCAAAGCGAGTCCTTGGAGTGAAGAGTGGCTGAGGTCCCGGAAAGGAGGGGGGGTCAACTTGGAGCCGGGGTGATGTTGGGGGGGGGGGGGGGCCCATTTGCTGGGCACTGGGAGGAGCCAGCAGATAATCAGGTGTTTGGTCCCGCTCCCCATTTTCTGCCTCCCCCCCCCCCAAATGTGGTTTGGCTCCGCTTTTCCCTGCCCCACCGATTCTCCAAGGAGACGACCAGCTGGACGGAATGTGTGGGAGTCTTGGAACGAAACCTCTTCCTCCTCTGACCGACACAAAAAAGTGGCAAATCTCTACAACCTCAAGGGTCCGTTTTTCCAGGAAAGGAACAAGAGTAAAATAAATTATAAGGTGGGATGGAAGGGAGAAAGGGGAGAGGGTCCGCCTCTCAATAAATACGCAAGTCCTAAGACGTGGAGGAGGCAGGATGGGGACGGGACGGGGGAGTCTGGGAAGGGCTCTACCGTCACTGGGCTCCACAAAGCAAAATCCCGACTGTGCCTGAGGCTCCGTCCCACCCTGACTCCCTTCCCCACCCCAACCAAAGTCCTACAATGCCTCTCTCGGCTCCTTCCGGGTGGTGTTGCACACTGTCACAGTTGCGTAGCTCCAAAGGCAGATGGAGGAGGAGGAGGAGGAATGTTGCCTGCCGCCACACGTAAAAAAAGCAAGTGCCTGTCCCAGGGGAGTGGCAGTCGGTAGGCAAAGGGAACGGCCCGTCCTGAGCAGATTTTCCGGGTTCGCCAGGCAGTAGTGTCTCCTCCCAGCCCGGGGGCCGCAGGGAGGCGGGCAGCAGTCAGTTCTGCTGTAAAATGAGGTTTTCCAGTTCGTCGGCAGAGCGGAGGAGGAAGGCGGCCGACTCCCGGTAGCCGGCGATCAGCTGCCGCACCGCGCTGATCTCCGTGGGGCTGAGTTGGGCGGCCGTCACTCCCCGGTTCGTGCTGTTGGCAGGGGTCGCGGGGGCGGCATTGGTGGTGTTGGTGGCGGCGGCATTAGTGGCGGCATTGGCGGCGGTGCCGGACGCGCCGCTTTTCATGCTGAGGTCAGTAGGGCCTGCGGACACACAGAGGGAGCAAGAGAGGCAGCTCTAGTCAATGATGGAAAGGAGAGGATTTCGCTTTGAGAATTCCTTCCAGTGTCAAATATGATTGAGGCCAATATTTCAGGCTTTCCCACCAGGAATCAAACACGTTTGATGCCAGAAGAAACTGTTAAGATTAAACTCACAATGGGACCCAAATTTTATTTTTGGGGAATGCTCAATGATCAGCTAGAACAGCGGTTCTCAACCTGGGGGTCGYGACCCCCAGGGGGGTCGGCTGCCCATTTCAAAGGAGTCGTGAGGCCGCCCCCATTGCCCCGCCCCATGGGCGCGGGCCAGGCCTCACCTGCCGCGCACTCTCTATCCAGCGTGGGTTTAAGGCAGGCAAGGGGTCCTCTGCATGAGGCCAGACCTCATGCAAAGCCTCCTTGCTCATCTCACGCTTTCATCATACATGGCGGGCGTGGGCGCAAGGCAAGCGAGGGGTCCTTGGCASGAGGGCTGACCTCGCACAAAGCCTCTTCGCCCGCCCCGCACTTTCGCCATTTGGTGAGGGCGCGAGACAGGCGAGGGAATCTCGGTGYGAGGCCTGACCTTGCACAAAGCGCCCTCGCCCGCCTTGCGCTTTCGTCATTCGGTGTGGGCGTGAACTGTAAATCCCAGCAACTATAGCTCCCAAATGACACGTTCTATTTTCACCAAACTCCACCACTGTTCACGTTTGGCCATATTGAGCATTCATGCCAAGTTTGGTCCAGATTGATCATTGTTTGAGTCCACAGTGCTCTCTGGATGTAGGTGAACTACAACTCCAAAACTCAATGCTCATCAAATCCTTCCAGTATTTTCTATTAGTAATGGGAGTTCTGTATGCCAAGTTTAGTTCAATTTCATCATTAGTGGAGTTCAGAATGCTCTTTGATTGTAGGTAAACTATAAGTCCCATCAACTACAACTCCCAAATGACAAAATCTCTCCTCCTGCCCCCCCCCCCCAACCCCACCGGTATTCAAATTTGGGCCTATTGGGCATTTGTGCCAAATTTGGTTCAATGAATGAGAATACAACCTGCATATCAGATATTGACATTACGATTCATAACAGGAGCAACATTACAATTATGAAGTAGCAATGAAAATAATGTTATGGTTGGGGGTCACCACAACAGGAGGAACAGTATTAAGGGGTCGCCGCATTAGGAAGGTTGAGAACCGCTGGGCTAGAAAGAAAATGTGGAAAATTATTACCATGTTTGATAACTGCTGCAAGAATTGTCTATGCTCCGAGATGGAAAGAATCAGTTATACCAGGCATGCGCAAACTTTGGCCCTCCGGATGTTTTGGACTTCAACTCCCAAAAATCCCAACCGTATTACCAGCTGTTAGGAATTGTGGGAAATGAAATCCAAACCACCTGGAGGGCCAAAGTTGGCCAATGCCTGAGTTATACTGCATTGTTTGCAGTGTTAGCCACTTTGGATGTTTTTTTAGAGCAGAGGTCCTCAACCTTCCTAATGCCGTGACCCCTTAGTACAGTTCCTCGTGGTGTGGTGACCCCCAACCATAACATTATTTTCGTTGCTACTTCATAACTGTCATTTTGCTCCTGTTATGAATCATAATGTAAATATCTGATATGCAGGATGGATTTTCATTCACTGGACCAAATATGGCCCAAATACCCAATACGCCCAAATCTGAATACTAGTGGGGTTGGGGGGAATGATTTTGTCATTTGGGAGTTATAGTTGCTGGGATTTATAGTTCACCGACAATCAAAGAGTATTCTGAAGTTCACCAATGATGGAATTGAACCAAACTTCGCACACAGAACTCCCATGACCAAGAGGAAATACTGGAAGGGTCTGGTGGACATTGACCTTGAATTTTTGGAGTTGTAGTTCACCTACATCCAGAGAGCACTGTGGATTCAAACAATGATGGATCTGGACTAAACTTGGCACAAATACTCAATATCCCCAAATGTGAACACTGGTGGAGTTTGGGGGAAATAGATCTCAGCATTTGGGAGTTGTAGTTGCTGGGATTTATAGTTCACCCACAATGAAATAGCATTCTGAACCCCACCAATGACAGAATTGGATCAAAATTCCCACACAGAACCCCTATGACCAACAGAAAATACTATGTTTTCAGATGGTCTTTGGCGATCCCCCCCCCCCTCCGACACCCTCTCGCAACCCCCACAGGGGTCCCGACCCACAGGTTGAGAAACACTGTTTTAGAGAGATAAAGCAGGATAGAAATTAACAATAATATATATATATAAATAAAACAATAAAACTTTATTTATAGACTGCTCTGTCTCTCCTAGGGGACTCAGGGTGGTTTCTACACATGCAGTCACACGAAAGAAATATATAAAGTATTCAAAACAAAAACACAAAACTATTGACACCAACTATATACAATTTGAAACCAAATTCAGACATTATTCTATAATGTAGGATGAGTTTCTAAGGGCCGGGGTAGTCAAGTGGGCCTAAGCTCCCTGGGGAGGGCATTCCAGAGGTGGGGGGCCACCACCGAGAAGGTCCTCTCCCTCATCCCCACCAACTGGACATGTGATGGTGGAAGCGAGATAAGGGCCTCACTAGAAGATCTTAAGGGTATAGTTTGGTTCATAGAGGGAGATGTGGTCATGGAGATAGGCAGGGCCAGAACCATTTAGGCCAGTGTTTCTCAACCTGGGGGTCGGGACCCCTGTGAGGGTTGCGAGGGGATGTCAGAGGGGTCTCCAAAGACCATCAGAATATTTTCTGTTGATCACGGGGGATTCTGTATGGGTAGTTTGGCCCAATTCTATGTCATTGGTGGGGTTCAGAATGCTCTTTGATTGTAGATGAACTATAAATCCCAGCAACTACAACTCCCAAATGTCAAGGTCTATTTTCCCCAAACTCCACCAGGGTTCACATTTGGGCACATTGAGTATTTGTGCCAAGTTTGGTCCAGATCCATCATTGTTTGAGTCTGTCTGGTTTGCTACTCTGGAACATGCAACATATAATTGTCCTTCTTTAGGGGTCCCTTTCAAATCTATGATACTATATCTGTGTGTGTGTGAATCATATATATCTATATCTATGGCTGGATGGCTCTTTGTCAGGAGGGCTTTGATTATGTTTTCTTGCCCTGGTGAAGGGAGTTGGACTGGATGGCCTTAAGTATTTTCTGTTGGTCATGGGGGTTCTGTGTGGGAAGTTTGCCCCAATTCTGTCGTTGGTGGGATTCAGAATGCTCTTTGATTGTAGGTGAACTATAAATCCCAGTAACTACAAATCCCAAATGTCAAGCTCTATTTCCCCCAAACTCCATCTATGTTCATATTTAGGCATATGGAATATTTTTGCCAAGTTTGGTTCAGATCCATCATGGTTTGAGTCCACAGTGCTCTCGATGTAGGTGAACTACAACTCCCAAACTCAAGGTCAGTGCCCACCAAATCCTTCTAGTGTTTTCTGTTGGTCATGGGAGTCCTGTGTGCCACGTTTGGTTCAATGCCATAATTGGTGGAGTTCAGAGTGCTCTTTGATTGTAGGTGAACTATAAATCCCAGCAACTACAACTCCCAACTGACAAAATCAATTTTTTTTTGAGTGAAGGACATACATTGGGTTGTTAGGTGTCTTGTGTCCAAATTTGGTGTCAATTCGTCCAGTGGTTTTTGAGTTCTGTTAATCCCACAAACGAACATGACATTTTTATTTATATAGATGGCTCTCATGTCCTCATCTCTCGGCCTTCTCCAAGCTCAACATCCTCAGCTCCCTTCGCTATTTCTCAGAGGGATTCACAATTTCCAGACTTTTGTTCATTTTATGAACTTCACAGCTCGTAATTTTCTTTCTTTAGTTCTTTCTAGAACTGGGCACAGTATTCCAAGTGAAGTGAGAAGAGACTTGCAAGGAACGGAAGCCACGCAAGGTCATGTTCAGGGGCTTCTGTGGGCAGGGGAAAGGCCGGTGCAAGCTTCGGACCCTGGGTTTTTCCCTGGGCTCCTTCTTGTCCCTGCTTGGCGCTTGGAGCACAGGGACAGCAAGAATCAAAGAGATGGAAGAGCTCCAAGAGGGGAAAGGGTCAAAGGCGGAATCCCAATCCTTGGCAAGCATGGAAGGGAGCTCTAGGGGGGCCTGCAGAATGGAGGGAGGGAGAGGAGGACATGGCTGGCCCTCCGAGGGATTAGCGCTCACGGCCAGAACCCAGGGTAGGGTCTTACTTCAGGGTTAAGAGGCATTAGGGAGGGATGAGAAGCCGTAATCCCAGAGAGGCATCTTTCAGGACGCAGGAAACCCAACCCTTCCAGTTGGGGCTGGTGGTCGAGTCCACGAAACGAGCAAGGAGATCCTCGGAGCAGAAGCCTTGGTTCAGATGGCCAGGGCTCCTGGTGGCCACAAGTCAGAAAGGCAATGTGGCCTAATCGTCTGACCGTTGGAGTGCAGGGTGGTATATTATACTTATATTTTGCAATATAAATATTTATGTAGGACACTGCATAAACTGGGTTTCCAACCCCAAGGCTGGAAAAAGTTGGGACTACATTGTGCACCCACCCTCACCCCCCATTGCCTCCCATGGCCCCAAACAAATAACATCCTAATATTTACCGTTGCTGTGGTTCCCCGCCTGGAGCGGAGGGGTGGGCTGCAGGCTGCTGCCCCCAAAGCTCCGGTAGCTGTAGTTGAGGGTCCCGTTGATGTAGACGGGGTCTTGGGAGAAGGAAGAGGCTGGCAGTGAGTAGGAGGAGTGGGTGACGGGGGCCGCGTCCCGCTTGTCCAGGGCCACCGGCTCGTCCTGTGAAAGAAGAAGAGGAGGAAAGAGGGGTGAGGTCCACGGTGGAAGGTCAGCCCATGCAGAGAATAGAAGGGATTAGTCTTGTGCAATTCGGCTGGAGGCCAATCTGGTGTTAGCATCCGAATTTTGTTGAGCACCCAGATCCGTTTTTCAGGAGCCTCCCAAAAATCAGCTAAAGCCAGAGTTTGAGGAATGGGGTTAAGGAAGCACTCTTCCTGGGATCCTTTCCTTTCTTGTCTTCAAGGGAGCCTGGGTTTGAGGAACGAGGTCAAGGAAGCAGCCTTCCTGGGCTCCTTTCCTTTCTTCCTTTCCAGGGAAACTGGATTTGTGGAATCGGGTTAAGGCAGCACCCTTCCTAGGACATTTTCCTTTCAAGGTAACCTGGGTTTGAGGAACGGGGTTGAGGAAGCATTCTTCCTGGGACCCTTTCCTTTCTTGCCTTCAAGGGAGCCTGGGTTTGAGGAACAAGGTCAAGGAAGCACCCTTCCTGGTCTCCTTTCCTTTCTTCCTTTCCAGGGAACCTGGGTTTGAGGAATGGGGTCAAGCAATCACCCTTCCTTGGAACCTTTCCTTTCAAGGGACCTGGGTTTGAGGAACAGGGTTGAGGAAGCACCCTTCCTGGGAACCTTTCTTTTCTTGTCTTCAAGGGAGCCTAGGTTTGAGGTATGGTGTTAAGGAAGCACAATTCCTGGGCTCCTTTCTTTTCCAGGGAGCCTGGGTTTGAAGAACGGGGTTAAGGAAGCAACTTTCCTGAGACCCTTTCCTTTCAAGGGAGCCTGGGATTGAAGAAAGAGGTTGCGGAAGCACAGTTTCTGGGACCCTTTCTTTTCTTGCCTTCAAGGAAGCCTGGGTTTGATGAACAGGGTTAAGGAAGAACCCTTCCTGGGACCCTTTCCTTTCTTCCTTTCAAGGGAGCCTGGGTTTGAGGAATTGCGTTAAGCAATCACCCTTCCTGGGACCCTTTCCTTTCTTCCTTTCCAGGGAACCTGGGTTTGAGGAACGGGGTTAAGGAAGCACCCTTCCCGAGACCCTTTCTTTTCAAGGGAGCCTGGATTTGAGGAAAGAGATTAAGGAAGCATCATTCCCGGGACCCTTTCTTTTCTTGCCTTTAAGGGAGTCCAGGTTTAAGGAACGGGGTTAAGGAAGCAACCTTCCTGGGCTCCTTTTCTTTCCAGGGAGTGCGGGTTTCAGGAATGGTGTTAAGAAAGCACAATTCCTGGGCTCCTTTCCTTACCAGGGAGCCTGGGTTTGAGGAACGGGGTTAAGGAAGCACCCTTCCCAAGACTCTTTCCTTTCCAGGGAGCCTGGGTTTGAGGAACAGAGTTGAGTAAGCACCCTTTCCGGGACCCTTTCCTTTCTTGCCTTCAAGGGAGCCTGGGTTTCAGCAATGGGGTTAAGTAAGCACCCTTCCCAGGATCCTTTCTTGCTTTCTAAGGAGCCGGGGTTAGAGGAACAGAGTTGAGTAAGCACCCTTTCCGGGACCCTTTCCTTTCTTGCCTTCAAGGGAGCCTGGGTTTCAGCAATGGGGTTAAGTAAGCACCCTTCCCAGGATCCTTTCTTGCTTTCTAAGGAGCCGGGGTTAGAGGAACAGAGTTGAGTAAGCACCCTTTCCGGGACCCTTTCCTTTCTTGCCTTCAAGGGAGCCTGGGTTTCAGCAATGGGGTTAAGTAAGCACCCTTCCCAGGATCCTTTCTTGCTTTCTAAGGAGCCGGGGTTAGAGGAACAGAGTTGAGTAAGCACCCTTTCCGGGACCCTTTCCTTTCTTGCCTTCAAGGGAGCCTGGGTTTCAGCAATGGGGTTAAGTAAGCACCCTTCCCAGGATCCTTTCTTGCTTTCCAGGGAGCCGTGGTTAGAGGAACAGGGTTAAGGAAGAACCCTTCCTGGGACCCTTTCCTTTCTTCCTTTCAAGGGAGCCTGGGTTTGAGGAATTGCGTTAAGCAATCACCCTTCCCGGGACCCTTTCCTTTCTTCCTTTCCAGGGAACCTTTCTTGCCTTCAAGGGAGCCTGGGTTTCAGCAACGAAGTTAAGGAAGCCGTGCATAAGACATGTCACAGCATTCTTCAGATTGGCTTAACAGGCAGGGCTCACAGGGAAACCCCACACAGCAACCTCTTCTCACGGCATGTGATGCCAAATGGGTGAGGAGGAGCCATGATTGGCTGCCACGTGGTCTCGTAATTGACAAAAAAAGTGACGGCTTGGCCCTTACTGTTACGGCCATCCGGCCAAGCCAAAGAAGCTGGATTGGACGAAGAGAATTGACCACTCCGAATGGGTGTACAAGCCTAGAAGGGATTCCAGATTTGGATGAGGGATAGGGGAGAGCACATCCTTAGAAGCTCTTACCACCTGGGGTGCCATCAGAGGCACAAAAATCTCTGAAGATACTAGTTTTGGAGGAGAAGGGGGAAATACAATTGGGAAAAGCTAGGGTTCCTAGATCTCAGGGTACAATCCTACACTGGAGAATAAACACAGCTTGATACCACATTAACTGCAATAACTGAATGCTATGGAATCCTGTGGTTTGTAGTTTGGTGAGCCACCAGCACTCTTGGGCAGAGAAGGCCAAAGACCTTGTGAAACTACAAATCCCAAGATCCCATAGCATTGAACCAAGCATAGAATCATAACATAATAGAGTTGGAAGAGACCAAATGGGGCATCTAGTCCAACCTCCTGCCATGCAGGAAAAGCACAATCAAGCAACCTTGACAGATGGCCACCCAGCCTCCAATGAAGGAGCTTCCATCAGACTCTGAAGCAGAGAGTTCCCCTGCTGAACAGCTCTTCTTACAGTCAGGAAGTTCTTCCTCATGCTCAGGTGGCATCTCCTTTTCTGTCATTTGAACCTTACCTGCGACGTTTGGTAGATCTCCAGCCGCATCCTCTTGGCCGCTTTCCGCGTCTCGCTCTCGCAGGCCGCCGCAAGGATGTTCTCGGCCATGGCTGAGGTCAGGTGGGGCGGTGTGGGCCTCGTCTGGGGGCACAGGCAAAGGTCAGGAAGGTTTGGACATTCCCACCACATGTGGGTGCATTATCCCTTATTTTTTTCCACAATGCCAACACATTGGAATTAGCCAACAAGTATTTTTCATTACATATAATTTCAGATCAATAAATCAACGCAGCAATGAAAGAAAAGAAAATACAAAACCATTACAAATAACATAACAAAAATGCCAGCAATTCGATCAAGGAGGAAGTTTACAAACAAAGCTCTTGGGCAGGGAAGATGGAGTGATAGCACCCTCCTGTGGCCGGAATCGAGCACAGCCTCCAAGATGCCGAAGATGGGAAAGCCTAAATATACCTCTATCTGTGTACAGTTGCCTGTCTTGTCCTTGTATAACGGCATTGAATGTTTGCCATGTAGGTGTGTTCTGTGACCTGCTCTGTGTCCCCTTCGGGGTGAGAAGGGCGGAATATAAATATTCTAAATAAATAAATAATAACTGCAACAAGGGATGATACTCAAGAAGATAAGAGAAATATAGAACATATGGATGGCATCTACAGAATGGGTTTTTTTTTTAAAAAAGGGAAGCAACACAAGCAACTTACAGAAATTAAGAAAACTGTGCATGGTTAAAGATAATAATATAGAATAAATATGTGGTTGAAGGGAGGGACGAGGGGCGGCAACACAAGTGGCTTTGATATTAAAAACAATTAAATTGTTTTTTTAAGGGATATATATAAGAAGACGTATGTCAACAGCCTGTCGAATGAAAGTGGAATGTACCATACAACACGTGTACAACTGTTAGGGCTGTTATGTATAGTAAAGGTAAAGGTTTCTCCTGACATTAAGTCCAGTTGTGTCCGACTCTGGGCGGTGGTGCTCATCTCCATTTCTAAGCCGAAGAGCTGGCGTTGTCTGTAGATGCCTCCAAGGTCACATGCCCAGCATGACTGCATGGGGCACTGTTACCTTCCCGCAGAAGCAGTACCTATTGATCTACTCACATTTGCAATTTTTCAAACTGCTAGATTGGCAGAAGCTGGGCCTAACAGTGAGAGCTCACCCCGCTCCCCAAATTTGACCTGCCAGCCTTTCAGTCAGCAAGTTGAGCAGCTCAGTGGTTTAACCCGCTGTGCCACCAGGGGGTTATGTATAATACCTTGATATTTTGGTTTTTTGAGCCCCCTTCGGGTGAGAAGGCGGTATATAAATGCTGTAAATAAATAAATAAATTTTGTAGAACAGTACGACTATGTGTGTGTATGTGTGTGTACAAGTTTACAATATATATATATGGGGCTGCAGTGGCACAGTAGGTTAAACCACTGAGCTGTTAAACTTGTTGACCGGAAGGTCGGCAGTTCGAACTCCCGGGACAGGGTGAGCTCCCATTGTTAGCCACAGCTTCCGCCAACCTAGCAGTTCAAAAACATGGAAATATGAGTAGATCAATAGCTGGCATCTCATCTCGTCATGCCAGCCACATGATCTAGGAGGTGTCTACAGACAACTCCGGCTCTTTGGCTTAGAAATGGAGATGAGCACCATGGATATGTGTGTGTGTGTGTGTGTGTGTGTGTGTAGAAAAGGTCAGGGAGGTTTGGGGGCGCAAAGCAAAAAGCATTACAAGGAAAAGACAGAACCCACGTGATGCAACCAGTGCAGATATTCAAGAGTTAAACATATGTGATTGAATAACATTGGAAGGAGATTGGACTGTGGTGGCTGAGTTTTTCTGATGCTGAAAACAGGAGACTGTGCCACACCAAAATGAGGACACAAAGCCCTAATCCTGTGAGGAAAACATGAGGAAGCAGGAGAGATTGGAATTAAGGTGGGAAGGAACATAGTTGCCAGAAGGGATGGGAGAGTGGTCCGAAACTCACCATCTCCATGCCGTTCTTCTTCATGCGACGGCAGGATTTGAGGTAAGTGCGGATGCGTTTGCGAGCCCGTTCCTGGAACTCGGGGAACTGCCGGCTGCAGGATTCGATGATGGCCTGGATTTTCTCTTTGGGCTGCTTGGAGATGGGGACCATGCGGTCCAGGTTCTCATCCACAAAAAGGCGGACGAACATCTGTGGAGACGAGAGGAAAGCAAGACGGTGTGACAGAGAGCACATTGTGGATCTTCAAGTCTCCTCGACAACAACAAGACCACCCTTTGAGCCCAGATGGAGACTCTTGTGCCCATACATTGAAGGCCTTTAGCCGCTCCGGGTCCATCCCTTCTGAGTCGTTCATCTTGTCGTTGTCCTCGTGGTCATCATGGTCATCGTCGTCATCGTCCGCGGCGGGAGCTCTGCCGATGGTCAGGTCTTCAACCTCTGTCTTGACCGAGTCGTAACTGCCGGAGCTGTATGGAGGAGACTGGGAAGAGGCAGAGAATTGGAACCATTGCCCATCATCGTATCTCTCCTTGGAGGTGGACCCATCACTCCTGCGACCTCATCTAGTAGTCCCACTCTTTTCTCCTTTGGTCAGACCTTCTTACCTGGAATAATATCCCTGTATCTAGTTCTGGGCAAAGCAATTCAAGGAGATGGACAAGGTGGAATGTGTCCAAAGGCCACCTAAATGGTCAAAGATTTGGAAACCAAGCCCTACGAGGAATGACTTAGGGAACTGGGGATGTTTAGCTTGGAGAAGGTTGAGAGAAGGAGACATGATGACCATGTCCAAATATTTGAGAGGAGGTGACATTGTTTTCCTGCTACTCCAGAGACTAGGAAAAGAGATTCCACCTCAATGTTAGCAATATTTAATGACAGTCGGAGCTGTTTGAGAGTGGAATATCCCATCTAGGAATGGTCCAGTCTCCTTCTATGGTGGGTTTTAAGTAAAGACTGGATGGCCATCTTGTCGGAAGGATTTTGAATGTTTTTCTGCCTGGCAGGGCTTGATTGTGTCTTCCTGACTGGCTGAAGGGGATTGCACTGGATGGCATCTAAGGTACTCATCCAACTCTGTTATTCAATGACATCAGAATGCACCGCCTGATAATGTGATAGAGGTTTTGAAACAGAGGCTGGAAGGCCTTCTGTTGGGAGTGCTTGGATTGTGCCTTCCTGACTGGATGAAGGGGACTGGACTGGATGGCTTCTAAGGCATTCTTCCAACTCTGTTATTCAATGATGCTATGACATCAGATTGCATAGCATGGTAATGTGATAGAGGTTTTGAAACAGAGGCTGGAAGGCCATCTGTTGGGAGGGCTCAGATTGTGTCTTCCTGATTGGCTGAAGGGGACTGGACTGGATGGCTTCTAAGCTACTCTTCCAACTTTGTTATTCAATGATACTATGACATCGGATTGCATAGCCTGGTAATGTGATAGAGGTTTTGAAACAGAGGCTGGAAGGCCATCTGTTGGGAGGGCTCGGATTGTGTCTTTCTGCCTGGCAGAAGGGGGTTGGACTGGATGGCTATTGTGGCTATTCCAAATGGGATTCTATTTTATCACAATGTGCAATGGACCTTCCACTACTAGGGCCCTAACTTAGCATGGACTTCCTTCCTTGCTTCATAGAATCCTAGAATCCTAGAGTTGGAAGAGACCTCCTGGGCCATCCAGTCCAACCCCATTCTGCCAAGAAGCAGGAATATTGCATTCAATACCCCTGACAGATGGCCATCCAGCCTCTGTTTAAAAGCTTCCAAAGAAGGAGCCTCCACCACACTCCGGGGCAGAGAGTTCCACTGCTGAACGGCTCTCACAGTCAGGAAGTTCTTCCTCATGTTCAGATGGAATCTCCTCTCTTGTAGTTTGAAGCCCTTCTGCGTCCTAGTCTCCAGGGAAGCAGAAAACAAGCTTGCTCCCTCCTCCCTGTGGCTTCCTCTCACATATTTATACATGGCTATCATTTCTCCTCTCAGCCTTCTCTTCTTCAGGCTAAACATGCCCAGCTCCTTAAGCCGCTCCTCATAGGGCTTGTTCTCCAGACCCTTGATCATTTTAGTCGCCCTCCTCTGGACACATTCCAGCTTGTCAATATCTCTCTTCAATTGTGGTGCCCAGATTTGGACACAATATTCCAGGTGTGGTCTAACCAAGAGCAGAATAGAGGGGTAGCATGACTTCCCTAGATCTAGACACTATGCTCCTATTGATGCAGGCCAAAATCCCATTGGCTTTTTTTGCCGCCACATCACATTGTTGGCTCATGTTTAACTTGTTGTCCACGAGGACTCCAAGATCTTTTTCACACGTACTGCTCTCCAGCCAGGCATCATCGTCCCCCATTCTGTATCTTTGCATTTCGTTTTTCCTGCCTAAGTGGAGTCTCTTGCATTTGTCCCTGTTGAACTTCATTTTGTTAGTTTTGGCCATCATCTCTCTAATCTGTTCTTTTCCTTCCTTCCTTCCTTCCTTCCTTCCTTCCTTCCCTTCCTTCCTTCCTCCCTCCCTCCCTCCCTCCCTCCCTCCCTCCCCTTCCCTCTCCCTTCCTCTTCCTTCCTCTCCCTTCCCTTTCCCTTTCCCCTTCTCTCCCCTTCCTCTTCCCCTTCCCCTCCCTCCAACGCACCTCTGCTGTGCTTTTGGCTCCATACTTGGCCCGGCTCCGCAGACCATCGGCGCTGCATCCGTCGGGCGTGAAGGAGGGGGCGATGTGTGCCGGCGCCAACTTGTCGCACAGGTTGATGGGCTGGTCCTCGGCGGTGGTGCTGAAGTCCATGGGGGCGGCGGCGCCATTCCCGTTCACCTCCGGGTAGGCGGCATCCCCTTGCGTGCTGCTGGAAGTGGACGGGTTCAAGGTGGAGGAGCCGTTCCCGCTGCAGCTCTCCGACGAGGAGTCGTCTGCAAAGAGAAGAAGAAGAGCGACTCCGTTACCTGGACGGCCACCGCAACGCCACACTCCAGTCGCAAGAGCCACATTCCAGAGTGGCCCAAGACTTTCCTCCTGAAAGCAAAAGGGTCAGCCTGGCCTTTCCAGTGATGCCCACTCACCATTACGCACCAGTGTCATGTAGCACCCAAACAGGGAGCAAAGACATTCAATACAGCCACTCGCTTGCCCTACTCTCAAGAGTACACAACAAGTATAGCAGTAGCATCACAGTGCATGCCCGTACGGGCTCGAGTATAATGCGCCATCGAATCTAATGCGCACCTCTATTTTCAAGACCCTGAAACCAAAAAAGGTATTTGTTGCCGAATGCAATGTGCAGTCTTTGCAATTTGAGCCCCTTTCAGGGTGAAAAGGCAGCATATAAATCTATATAAATAAAAATGTAATGTTAGTTTGTGGGATCAACGTAATTCAAAAACCACTGGACGAACTGCCACCAAATTTGGTCACAAGACACCTACTAACCCAAGGGGTGACCATCACTCAAAAAATTGCTTTTGTCATTTGGGAGTTGTAGTTGTTGGGATTTATAGTTAACCTCCAATCAAAGAGCATTCTGAACTCCACCAATGATGGAATTGAACCAAACGTGGAACACAGGACTCCCTTTCAGCATTTTCTGTTGGTCATGGGAGTTCTGTGTGCCAAGTTTGGTTCAATGCCATCCTTGGTGGAGTTCGGAATGCTCTTTGATTGGAGGTGAACTATAAATCCCAGCAACTACAACTCCCAAATGTCAAGGTCTATTTTCTCCAAACTCTACCAGTGTTCACATCTGGGCATATTGAGTATCAGTGCCAAGTGATGTCCATATCCATCATTGAGTCCACAGTGCTCTCTGGATGTAGGTGAACTACAACTCCAAAACTCAAGGTCAATGCCCACCAAACCCTTTCAGTATTTTCTGTTGGTCATGGGAGTTCTGTGTGCCCAGTTTGGTTCAATTCCATCATTGGTGGAGTTCAGAATGCTCTTTGATTGGAGGTGAACTATAAATCCCAGCAACTACAATTTCCAAATGACAAAAATCAACCCCCCTCCCCCAAATTTGTGCATATTGGGTATCTGTTGGGAGGGCTTGGATTGTGCCTTCCCAATTGGCTGAAGGGGATTGGACTGGGTGGCCTGTAGGGTACCTTTCCAGCTCTGTTATTCTATGATACTATGACATCAGAATGCACAGCCTGGTAATGCGAGAAGGCATTTTGAAACAGCGTGGATGGTCGTCTGTTGGGAAGGCTCAGGTGGTGCCTTCCCGATTGGCTGAAGGGGGTTGGACTGGATGGCCTGTAGGGTACCTTTCCAACTCTGTTATTCAATGATGCCATGACATCAAAATGCACAACCTAGCAATGAAATAAGGCATTTTGAAACAGGCTTGGTGGCCATCTGTTGGGAGGGCTTTGATTGTGCCTTCCTGATTAATTGAAGGGGATTGGACTGGATGGCCTGTTGGATGGCCTGTTTCCAATGATGTTATGACATCAAAATGCACAGCCTGGTAATGTGGGAAGGCATTTTAAAACAGGCTAGATGGTCATCTGTTGGGAGGGCTCGGATTGTGCCTTCCTGATTGGCTGAAGGAGATTGCAATGGATGGCATCTAAGGTACTCATCCAACTCTGTTATTCAATGATGCTATGACATCAGAACGCACAGCCTGGTAATGTGAGAAGTCATTTTGAAACAGAGTGGATGGTCATCTGTTGGGAAGGCTCGGATTGTGCCTTCCTGATTGGCTGAAGGGGGTTGGACTGGATGGCCTGTCGGGTACCTTTCCAACTCTGTTATTCTATGATGCTATGACATCAAAATGCACAGCCTGGTGATGTGAGAAGGCATTTTGAACAAGGCTGGATGGCCATCTGTTGGGAAGGCTCGGATCGTGCCTTCCCGATTGATTGAAGGGGGTTGGACTGGATGACCTGTTGGGTACCTTTCCAATGATGTTATGACATCAAAATGCACAGCCTGGTAATGTGGGAAGGCATTTTGAAACAGGCTGGATGGTCATCTGTTGGGAGGGCTTGGATTGTGCCTTCCTGATTGGCTGAAGGAGATTGCAATGGATGGCATCTAAGGTACTCATCCAACTCTGTTATTCAATGATGCTACGACATCAGAACGCACAGCCTGGTAATGTGAGAAGTCATTTTGAGACAGGGTAGATGATCATCTTTTGGGATGGCTCAGATTGTGCCTTCCTGGTTGGCTGAAGGAGATTGCAATGGATGGCATCAGGTATTCTTCCAACTCTGTTATTCTGCTGGCTCTGTTGGACCCAATTTCTGAGTATCTTCCTTGAATGGAAGTGGACATGGGATTATTCCAAGTGAAGCCTGAATGCTGTGCCTTCTGGATGTGCCGACAGGCGGGAAGCGCATGGCAAGGAGAGGTGTGGCACCAGAGCTGAGCATGGCATGTGCTGGGTAAGGAAGCTCCCTTTGTTGGAGGGACCGAAGCATTGGGGGGCTTTCCTTGCAATCCCCCCTGCCTCAGTTCCCCCTCCGCCGCACTGCCACAGATGCCCGCCTGTCTTCTCCTGCTGAAGATGCGCCAGCACCACCATCGCCACCGCTGCCTCGTCTCCCCCTCCGTTGCCAGGTCTGCTCCCCCCTCACGGTTCCCATGGAGATCGCCTACGTGCCTTGCCTCCCCCCTCCCCACAAGGCGCGCATTCGTTCCAGCCCTGGCATCCATCATGCGGGGAGCAGGAGGGCAGGGGCTTCGCCTCGGTGATGTGCGCACATCTCTCCCCACCTCTGCCTCCCAAAGAACGCCATCTCTCCATCTCTCCTGCTTGCAAGCCCCTTCTGCCCATCCCCAGGGAAATGCAAGGCAAAGGAAAGTGTGGGGAGGGGGCACGGGGTCTTCTCCTCTCAGCTGGGAAACATGCTCAGCTCTCTCCTTCCTCCAATGCGCATACTAGTGAGAGAAAAAAGCCAATTCAATTCTAGGCGGCATCCATAGGAATTCCAGGGTCTAAATCAGGGGTCCTCAAACTGTTGGGGGGCCGGGCTACGGTTTGTTGTTGTTCCCACTGCGTGACTTCAAGTCATTTCAGACTTAAGAGCAACCCTAGGGCCACCCTCTCACAAGCCGCTCTTTGGCAAGGTTTGATCAAATGGGGATTGGCCATGTTTATCTGAGGCTGAGAGAGTGGGACTTGGGGTAAAGTCACCCAAGTGGGTTCAGAGCCACAGTCCGAGGTTCAAACCACCAAACCACACTTTCTGAAGTCGTTCCCTCTCTATAAACCACTTTGAGTCCCCCCCAGGGGTGAGAAAGATGGTATAGAAAGACTGTACATAAATAAATTTCCTGCTTACTTCTCTTTCTTCCTTTTCTCCTTCCCTCTTTTTCCTACCTACCTTTCTTTCCTTTCTCCTTCCCTCTCTGTTTCCCACCTACTTTTCTTTCTTTCTTTTCTCCTTCCCTCTCTTTTTCCTACCTACCTACCTTTCTTTCCTTTCTCCTTTCTCTTTTTCCTACCTACCTTTCTTTCTTCCATCCCTTTATGTTTCCTACCTACCTTTCTTTCCTTTCTCCTTCCCTCTCTTTTTCCTATCTACTTTTCTTTCTTCCTTTTCTCCTTCCCTCTCTTTTTCCTACCTACCTTTCTTTCCTTTCTCCTTCCCTCTCTTTTTCCTATCTACTTTTCTTTCTTCCTTTTCTCCTTCCCTCTCTTTTTCCTACCTACCTTTCTTTCCTTTCTCCTTCCCTCTCTTTTTACCTACTTTTCTTTCTTCCTTTTCTCCTTCCCTCTCTTTTTCCTACCTACCTTTCTTTCCTTTCTCCTTCCCTCTCTGTTTCCCACCTACTTTTCTTTCTTCTCCTTCCCTCTCTTTTTCCTACCTACCTACCTTTCTTTCCTTTCTCCTTTCTCTTTTTCCTACCTACCTTTCTTTCTTCCATCCCTTTATGTTTCCTACCTACCTTTCTTTCTTTTCTCCTTCCCTCTCTTTTTCCTACCTACCTACCTTTCTTTCCTTTCTCCTTTCTCTTTTTCCTACCTACCTTTCTTTCTTCCATCTCTTTATGTTTCCTACCTACCTTTCTTTCCTTTCTCCTTCCCTCTCTTTTTCCTATCTACTTTTCTTTCTTCCTTTTCTCCTTCCCTCTCTTTTTCCTACCTACCTTTCTTTCCTTTCTCCTTCCCTTTCTTTGTTTCTACCTACTTTTCTTTCTTCTTTCCCTCTCTGTTTCTACCTACCCTTCTTTCTTCATGTTCTCCTTCCCTCTCTTTTCCCTACCTACCTTTCTTTCCCTTCTCCTTCCCTCTCTGTTTCCTATCTACTTCTCTTTCATTCTTTTCTCCTTCCCTCTCTTTTTCCTACCTACCTTTCTTTCTTCATTTTCTCCTTCCCTCACTTTTCCTACCTACCTTCCTTCCTTTTCTCCTTCCCTTTCTTTTTCCTATCTTCTTTTCTTTCTTTCTTTTCTCCTTCCCTCTCCTTTTTCTACCTACCTTTCTTTCCTTTCTCCTTCTCTCACTTTTTCCTTTCTTTCTTTCTTTTCTCCTTTCCTCTCTTTTTTCTACCTACTTTTCTTCCTTCCTTCCTTCTCTGTTTCCCACCTACTTTTCTTTCTTCCTTTTTCTCCTTCCCTTTCTTTTTCCTACCTACCTTTCTTTCTTCATTTTCTCCTTCCCTCACTTTTTCCTACCTACCTACCTTTCTTTCTTTTCTCATTCCCTTTCTTTTTCCTACCTACTTTTCTTTCTTCCTTCCCTCTCTGTTTCCAATCTACTTTTCTTTCTTTTGTCCTTCCCTCACTTTTTCCTACCTACCTACCTTTCTTTCCTTTCTCTTTCCTCTTTTTTCTACCTACTTTTGTTTCATCCTTATTATCTTCCCTTTTTCCTACCTTTCTTTCCTTTCTCCTTCTCTTACTTCTTTCTTTTCTCCTTCCCTCTCTTTTTCCTACCTACCTACCCTTTCTTTCCTTT